AGTACACACTATATTGTGACACTTGCATCTTAAAATCTATTTCTAGATATAATTACTACTAAACAATCTAAATATCAACTTAAATTATGTATAAGATACTTACATGTGTATCTTCTAATCTCTTATGTCTACATTATGTTTAAAGCTGAAAGATACAATTTAGGTTATATTTGTGTTTTGGTCAGGGAAATTTTCTTTTCTTGTTATATTATGTTACACAACAATTTGTTTATATCAGTAAATGTCTGAGTTCAATACGATTGGAGTTCAAGATATTTCTATCACACACCAGCATGTAACTCACTGGCACTCTCTTGGAACATGTGTACTCAAACATCTGCAATTCAATATCACATTTTCAAGTAAAACATCTCATAATGTCTTATTGTTCTTATATAAAAATAAGCACTGTAACTGAATATATTTTAATGTAATATTTGTAGACTATTTGAAAATAATACTGCATTAACAGCTCTTGTGAACTTGTGAGGTTGTTAGCTGGAAGCCAGTTTACTATCAAGATGCTTAAGTCACTGGCCATAAATCTTGTACCTCCCAGATCACAGATTTTAGACATTCATGGCAATTAATGACTCAGCGGTTAGATGTGTGGCCAGATTTATTTGAAAAAATCAGAAAGGGAAATGATGGGGAGATCAATAGAAGAATACAGGATCATTCTGAATTTTGCCATATTATAGTATATATATAACGGAAGCAAAAGTAAAGATATCCCTGTAACAGGCCGGGGAGGCCCATAGGGTTGTGAGTTGTTGAGGTTCCCACACTGTCTAGACAATCGGCTCATAGACGGCGATAAGTTTGTCAGCCTTACGTTCCGGCCGCACTTTACCCCCAAGAATATTCCAAGAATATTCCTGGTACTCATTTCTGTTAGAGGCTGAGTCGGCCCCAGGGCCATAGTGCGGCAGGAAGGATTAGGTAAATTGAAAAAATCCACCTCAACGGGAATTGATCCCGCAACCTTCTGGCTTATAGCATAGTGCCTCAACCAACTACGCTACCGCGTGCCCTGTATAGCGGAAGAGAGATATCCAAAAACAATGCAGACCATCAATCTATAAAATTTAAACTGATGCTAACATATAATGCTGAATGAACCCTTACACAGAGAAACAAAAGCAAAATCCAAGCAATGTCTTTAAAATACTATACTGCCAACCAATGACTGCCCTTGGCCAGAGAGGCCTGTTGGCCTGTGCTTGGTGACAACTGCAGAGAGGAAGACCTGTACAGTCAGACAGTGGCTTTGCTGCTGCTCAAATGACTATCACAAAGTAGTTACCTTTCGGCCATGGGCAACCACACATTGATTTGTACTGAGGGAAAAGTAGAAGGGATAGGATTAGAAAGGAAATTTTTAGAGACAAGATTGGAATATGAAAATTGTTACTAAAATCCAAAGCAAAATGATTACAATGATTTGGCCATGCATAAAGAATGGGTAGGAGGGTGATGGGCAGGGCATTAGAACTAAATTTTAAAGGAAAGAGAGATATGGGAACACCAAGAACCAGATACAGAGTGGAACCTCGCTTAACAAGCATAATTCGTCCCAGAATCTCATTCATAATGCGAAACACTTGTTTAGCAAAACAATTTTTCCCATATAAATTAATGTAAAATACGATAATGCGTCCCATGCTGAAAAAAATACAAAAAAAATTTTGTGTATAATATTTATTCAAAGAAAATTATATATACATTGTTAAGGAGCGTGAATCATCTTCATCTTTTCTTGTATGCGGAATGAACCAACCTGGAATGCGATTTTGTTTATCCATATGAGGAACAACCTTTCAACATCGTTGAGAATATGTAACCTTTGTGTAGATATTCTTATGACTCCCTTTGAAGTATCTATCTCCTTAATCTTGTCCTTGTTCTTGAGGATAGTGCAAATCGTTGATGTAGACCGATTGTATGTGTGTGCTAGATCAGCCACGCTCACAGCTCGTTCTCGCTTTTCAATGAATTTACGTTTCATTTCTATGGTTATTTTTATTCTCTTATGGCTGTTTTTTTGTGGCTTTTTCTTCAGGGACATTTTTGCAAGGGTTATTAAACTATGCACAAAAAAAATCACAAATAATATGTCTGAACACAAGTTTGGAAAAATGTGTGATCACAAGCGACGCTAAGATGCTAGCAGAACGAGTGCTAAACACAGGTTGATGTAGCAAGCGCACAATCCGGGACTTCCCCTCTCATCACTTGATATGCGAAACATCGCTCATTAAGCGAGTCATTTTTTTACAATTTGTTTTGCTCGTTATGAGAGGTGCTTGTTAAGCGAGGTTCCACCGTACTGGAAGATATCAAGGAGTGAGAAAAGAGCTGTGAAGAAACTGAAAAGTAATTACTATGCGAAGAAAGAAGGGGCTGGGGATGTTTCATCCTGTAACCCTTATAAAATGGAAACAATGCAATAAGATGGAGGAGGAGGGGAGGTGGTTAAAGAAGAGGAAAAGGAAGTATAGATGGCAATTCTACGGTAATGTCGATCTTGATTTTGAGTGAAGGTGCCATGTGGAAGTGGGTTGGGTTACTAACGTTTCAGAGGAAACTGTCTCCATTTGCAGGACCAAAGTAATGGAGGTGGGTTACAGTCAGGTTACGTAGGCAAAGTCACACAATAGGAGTCACACAGAACAATGGGAGCACTATGACAAAGGTTTCTGACTCAATGGTGGGCCATGTAGGAATGTAGTTTACATGCCATACTTGACGCTATATTTTACATACAGAAGTGTCAGTAAATTTCTCCAAAATACGTGCCTTGTAATCCCACTTCCTGACTTCCTCCTGTACTCTGAAATACTGAAAGCAATATTTGAGGTTCTCATGGCAGTGACTATGAAGAATACTACCTTCTGGGATGTGACTCCTTGTAGATTGATTGATCATCATCGGACTACAGGGTGTCACATACAAGAGGACGGTAATCATCACTGTGTATCATATCTAAATACACGATATTTCATGCAAATATCAGGCAAAACACATAAACATTTTCCAACTATGCTTCAGTGGATAGATATGAACTAGAACAACAGATTATAAGTCAATTCTAAGTACTTTTAATATTAAATATCACGTTATATAAATTACTTAACATCTATCTGAGAAGCATTTCATTCCCCTTTGTATTATAGTGTAAACTAATGTTCCATTTTGCATCCAAAACTCTTCACTCTCCAATCATCCAATTCTGACATTGTAGCAACATATGTCTAAACTCTTAATTTTAATGTTTGGAGACAGTCCCAACATACACACTGATATGTCTAGGATGTTTCATTTGCAAACTATGCCATACATGATTATAAAAATATACAGTATTATTACTTATCATAAAAGAGTGGAGAATTTATCAAGTTAATAATATTTCTGTTAAGTATAAAATTGTAATTCTTGTTTGAGGACTAGAAGAGCAACCTTCTGCTGCTGATTCTCTAAATTATTGTGTCAATAGTTAGTGTATTACACTAAATTACGCTGACCTACTCATGGCTTTTCAACACTATTAATTATGTATTAAAGACTGTCCCTTTTTAAAGAACCATTCTACACTTTATTTATTCCTTCAGTTTTACTTCAGATCTGTTTACCAGTCCCATTTGCAGCCTGATACATGTACAGTTTTATTTAATTTTACACTGTGTTTTGTGAGGGACTTTTACCTTGGAGTCTATTTAGGCGCAAATGGCTAATGATGATGCCTTAAAATACTTACTCACTTACTCACTAACTCACTATCATGAGAATATTCCACTGGAATAGTTGTTTATATATATATAGGAGCCGGGATAGCGCGGTCGGTATAGCGACTGGCCATGAGCTGGAAGACTGAGGGGTTGGAGTTAAGAGTCCCAGTAGGGTCAAGAATTTTCTCATCTCCATGTTGTTCAGACCGGCCCTGCAGCCCATCTAGTCTCCTATACAATGGGTATTGGGGGCTCTTTCTCCGGGGATAAAACGGCTGGGACATGAAGCTGACCACTCACCTCCAACTAGTGCCAAGGACAAGAAAATGTGGATCTATACATCCACTCACCCATACACCTTCATGGTGTAGTGCTTAATTAATTAAGCACAGGGAAAGCTTTACCTCTATATACCTTTTATATATAAAACACCATGCAGATAATTAAGGAAAGCTAACAATATTAAATCATGACTTTCATATAACTACATAGCTAGATCATCTCTCTATTCAGTGCCCTAAGAATCTGGTACTAACGGTTTCTTAAACATTTACACAGAGATGAACAGAGCATATTGAAAAATAATGGACATTCCATTTCCTAGTTCAGTGTCATCAATTTGTGGGAACACACAAGTTCTAAGAAGTACAAATACACAAATGATGGAGTGGAAAGTAACTGGAAAGCAGTCATGGCATAATCATGATACTCTCCTGGCATTTGCCTTGAGGGACTGAGAGAAACCACAAAAAGCATGGGTTTCATTCGTTCATTTATTCCCTCAGGATTTATATAGACACACAAGAAGATGAATTTATAAGACACTCGCTAGACCAACATCATCTTATGGCAGTGAATCATGGATAAATACAAAGAAATGAAAGAAGACTGACATCAACAGAAATGCACATCATGAAGGCTAAGAGAAACACACCCTTTCAGAAAGTATGAAGAATGAAGAAATTATGAGGGCACTACAAGTTTCAGAAATAGTAGAATTTATTTAACAAAACAGAAGAAGTTACGAAGAACATTTTGGCAGGATGAATTTTGACAGGACTGCAGAACAGACTTTACAATATCAACTAAAAGGAAAATGAAGTTTGGGAAGACCTCTGAAATGAAGGAAGGATTCTGTCTTGTAATATCTGTAACAGGTCTAAACGCACCTTACTCACAAACAACGACGATGATGATGATGATGATGATGATATCTGATCACGATCACTCAACTTAACTGGGGTTAAACATGGTTTCCTTGGCTTCTCCTGGTAAATAATATGGTCTCTTCCTAGGATCTTATTTCTCACAATTTTCAACTATTATCTGACAATGCAGAAAGCTACAGCTGTGGTCCAATAAACAGGACATGAGAGGAAACAGAATGGACAAATTTTCATGCCTGTCTGACTTCCTCTAAATTCTGAAAGATGAAAACAAAGCAATTAGTGAAATATTACTCTCTTCTTGGATGTGACACTGTATTGTGTCAGACTGTTACCAGCATTTTGCAGGGACCTGCTGCTTCAACATTCAGGAAAGAAGAACCACTCTTCTACACACCTCACCCCTCTTCTACCATCAAGATGGAGTCAGCAGGCTCCACCAAAATGCTGGTAATGATTTACCACACAATACAGCAATACGTATAGTGTCACAACCCAGAAGGCAGTAATCTTCATAGCCACCTCTGTGAGAACCTCAAACCTAGCAAAATTATTAATTTTTGTAAAGAACTGTCCTAGCTAAAATTGTGTGTGGTATGTTGATGTGGAAAAGTGAAAATATTTTATTACAATATGAAGAAAAGATGCCTGAACAATGGCATACTCCTGGCATACTCGGAGTATGGCAGAACATGAAATCTGAGTAGTCAGCTACCAGACTACGTGTTGTTATATCCCATAGCCACTGCTAGGAGAACTCCAAATCTCATGAAGTACCATTACCCTATATTGATATCAAAACAAGCCATACTTCAGTACATGCTGCATTTTGTTCAAAGATTGGGAGTGCAGTGTATCATATTCTGTATTGTACTGTATTGTACATTGTCTTGTATATTGTTCTGTACATTTTTTAATAGTTGTTGTCATGTAGTGACTGGCTCTTTTCAACTGACTTATCCAATTGTGCCCGTGTAACAATTATGTATGTCAAATTATTATTATTATTATTATTGTCCCCATTTAGGGCTATTCCGTACGAATAATAAAGAGGTTCTAAACTGGATGTATTAGAAGCTTCAAAAAGGTACACAAGACATATTTCATGCATTGTCAAACACAGGTCCCAAAGGGATAAAATAGCATCTCAAAATTTTCTTTGTACAATTCTTCCTGCATATTGAAGAAATGACATTTTTTTTAAATGAAGTCTCTGTATATCGTCATGTTTATAATGCCCGGTTACATGTAATCTGAGATAAAAATGAAGTTGCCACTGAAGAAAGGGTACATGAATTTTCATTCTTATAATGAGAGTAAGGGAAATTTCACTCTGAGATCAAGGGGTGCATCAACTAAATAAAGTTAAGAAACACTGAGATATAACAAATTTGTGCAAGCCAATTTGATTACAATATGGTCTGGGAGAGAAATGAGGACGGGACAACGTACAGGTGAGACACTTTCATAGAGAAATGCTGCTCAGGACAGTACAGTCAGTTTTAAAAAAATAAATATACAATTTTAAAAAACTTATTTTGAAGAAACTAATTTCCTTACAAAAGTTGCATTAGAATCAAATGAAACTGAATCAAGGAAAACGTTGTTTACTGCATTAGCAATGGATGTATTATAAAAGGATATCATATGATATGATTTTAACAGGATATAAACATTTCCTGGAAAATAAGTTGGCTGTGGGAGCCCTGACATAAGAACCCTTAGGTCTTCTGATCAAACTGCTGCTACAGGGCTATCTTAAATAAAATGTTCACGTTACATCCTTAAAAAATGAGCTTGGTGACTTGAAACATTCACTCTATTGAGAAACAACGACATATCAACTGAATAAGATCTCTTGTTAAAGCTTGGTGTGGATTTCAGTGTTACCTGAATGTCAGAATTATCAATATGCTCATAATGAATAATTACGAAATTAAGAAAACTGAAGTCACTGTTTCTACTGATGCTAAAACAACTTTCGTTGGACTGTTAGTTCAAAATACAATTTTAAAAGTATTTATCTTATTTGTAATAACCCTGCAGTTCACTCAACATTAGCATAGTACTCAGGGGCAAATTTTGCCTCCAAGCTGCAAAATATGAACTGAAACAGATGGAATTGCCCCCTTCTGTCTGGTGCCTACATCAGAGTGAATTCACTTACCCAAATATGCACACTTCAAAGCCAACCTGCTGACATATTGTGCCCACTTACAGGTTGAATTCCTGGCAAGTTTGGCAACACTACAACTGCTCCATTATGTGATTTGTTTTGCGAGCCCTGCGGCTGTTGCTGTGTAGAACTTTGCGATGATGTGTTATGGTTAGCAGGATTCATACTTCCCATAGCTAAAAGTGGCTCCCTTGAATTAGACCCCACACTTACACCACCCCCAACACCTGTTGAATATGCGGTTACACTTTCCTCAGTTGTGGACGGCGTAAGTGTCTCATTGTTACCTAATTCTACTGAGTGCTGTTGTGACTGTGTCTGTTCATGGCGGTGAGATATTAATGTGACAACTTCTGACGCTCTTGTAGGAACACTGGACGCCCGCTGAAGCTGCTTCTTCCCTCCCTTCATGACACAACATGATTGGGGTGCTATGGGATGCCCCCCACTGTCTGCCATGTTCATATTTCTAGAAGCTGAGAATTTCTTTCGCCTTTTCCTAAGTGCTGCTAGTGCAGCCATACCTATTCCACTGTGGGGTACAGTTTGTGTTGGCGCGTCTACCAAGCTTGGATTAGAATCCGATGGCGATTCTGTGATGTCATCAGATGCAGGGCTGTTGCTGTGGCTGTGATTACTGCAATGTATGTTGTGATCATTCCTACAGTGGCTATTGCACACAGAGTCTTCCGATCGACTCCTGCCTATCAATCTACTAACCCGCCCTGACTTTGCAGCCTCAATTAACGTTCCCCAGCGGCGCTTATGGGATGATGATCTCTTGATATGAAGCCTTGGCAAACGTCCGAAACCCCCACGATGGGTATGATGATCTCCATTTCCTCCACCACCGCTCGAGGAGTTGTTGTTAGGGTGTTGATGTGACTTCTTTGGTGTAGAACTGGATCCAAGACTGCTGCCAAATATGGCAGATGTTGTGGAACCGAAGATGTCCTGAAGATGGTGTGTGGACACGTGGTGTTCATGGTGCTGCTGCAGATTGGCCATGAATTCAGCTACAGTTGGCAGCTGAGTTGTGCTTGATGGCGCTGGTGCAATGTTGAAGCCTTTCATCAAGCGACGCTCTTTCTGACGGTTCTTCTTTCCTCCAGCCCCTATTCAAGAGCACAAATATTAACAGTTCATGTTTGGAGTTCATATTAAACAATTCTCTTGTTGTCTTTTGCAGTTCCAATTTATGTTTCCATATTTTCATTTAAAGATTAATATTAATTATTATTAATATACACTGAAGAATCCATAATAATTTTACCAAATTTTGAAAGGGATATTATGAAATATATATCTCAAAACATAAACCTAAAGTGTGTTTTAGATCAATATTAAACTATGATGCTGAAACATGGACCATTATGAGGAGAAACAAAGCAAACTCCAAGCAATAAATATATCAATTAGAAGTATTGAAAAAATAATGAGGAGCTTCATAACCTGTACTCATCTCCAAGTACAATTAGAAGTATCAAGTTAAGGAGGATGAGATGGGCAGGGCATGTAGCATGAACAGGAGAGAAGAGGAATGCATACAGGATATTGGTTGGAAAGCCAGAAGGAAAGAGACCACAGAAAAGGCCAAAGCATTGGTGGGTGGACAATATTAGAATGGATCTTAGAGAGATAGGATGGGATGGTATGGATTAGATAGATGTGGCTCAGGTTAGGGACCAGTGGAGGGCTCTTGTGAGAACGGTAATGAATCTTTGGGTTCCACAAAATGCTGGGAAGTTCTTGAGTAGCTGCAGCTTCTCAAGAACGGCTCAGCTCCATGAGTGAGTGAGTGAGTAATAGGAAAAAATTAGAAAAGAAATTTTAGAGAGTGATCTGGATCCTGAAACATGTTAATAGAGTTCCAAGAGACGAAATTAAAATGGTATGTCAATGAAAAAGGATGGATAGAATTAGGATACTCAGAAGGGCATTAAAATTAAAATCTACAGGAAAGAGGCCATGAGATGACTGAAAACAAGAAGACTTAGCCAGAAACTGGAAGACAGCAAGAAGGGAGGAAAGCACTGGCGAGAAATAAAAAAGGAAAGACTGTAGGAAGAAAGAAGATACTGGAGATTTTTCATCCATTGACTGGTAAGAAATGGAAGTGATGCTAGCAGAAGGCTACTTGTCACCGTCAGAGAATACAAAGTTGACTTTCCCAAGGCTCAAAAAATACACCTTATACCTACATGTCACATTAGGATCTGCTAAACTCACAGCATGCTTCATGCATATACTGCTTATGGCAGATGCTAGCAACTTGGCATTCATTGCTGTAGTTAATGTGTACAACAGGATCTTACAACTGTATTCCTAATTTAACAGTTTTCATGCATGTTTCTAACCCTGTGGAGAATTATTAATTTCACTTAGTGTGTCCAGATACATGGAAAAAATTAAGAACTGCTGAATGGAGTTTCATAAGATCTGATATCTGAGGATTTTACAAAACACTGTCAAGTGATATCAGTTTCAATTTGGATTAGATAAGTTTAATGAGGTTTTTGCTTGAAGATGAATGTCAGTTTCTGCCGTTATCTCTTCTAGTATATATTCAAGACAAAAATGCTCCATACAGAAGTTATAGACAGTAAGAAAATATATACTTTATATCCAGTGTAAAGGCTATCTCCATAAGTATCACGGTTTTTGAGATAAACAGAAGGGATATCACGACTACATCTTCGAACTTTCACGTTCATCAATCAACTGTGGCAACCAGAACACAATCGTATTAAAGAATGAAATAAAAACAAAAATAAAATAGTCGTTATTGACTTTTGGGCTGTGATAGCGCAGTCAGTATAGTGACTGGCTATGGGATGGATGACCAGGGGTTCAGAGTCACGTCCTGGTGGGCACAAGAATTTTGCTTCTCCATGCCATCCAGACTGGCTCTGGGGGCCCACCCAGCATCTTATCCAATGGATAGAGGAAGCTCTTTCCCCAAGGGTAAAGCGGTTGGGGCGTGAAGCTGACCACTCGCCTCCTACTAGTGACAAGGTCAAAATGTGGGTCTGTACATCCATTCCCCCCATACATCTTCATGGTATAATGTTTAATTAGTTCAGCAGAGGGACAAACTTACCTTTTTATGATGATTTTTTATGGGATGATCAATTACAATATGACTTTAAAGTACATTAAAGAATTTATACATATTTAATTTTTGTCTAGAGTGTGTAATAATAGAAAACACATTGAAGCTTTAACACCGGTTGTTTATTCATTCAGTAGGCCTATATAGGTTCAGTCTCTTGGAAATCTGAGTAATATAACCTAACAAAACAGTTCATAGATGCATGCAAGTTTAATGTGCGTTTATTACGAGGAATAGTTCACTACTGTCTCATTTTATTTATAATTCCTTCTGCTGAATGTGCTTATTAAATGCACACTTCATACTTGCACAATCATGTTCTTGTAGAATTTCTATCTGCAGATCTTGTCTAATATCTATTGTTCTTGTTTACTCTTTAATGTTTTGTAGTAACTTCATCTATTCTTGGTGTCTCCACCTTATCGTGGTGAGGAGGTTTGAGTATGCCAAGGACCCTGAGAGCTATACCAGCGGTAACGTAGCTACTGGCAGGGCCTCCCTTGCTGGACAGGTCAAAAGGTAGGCATCAGATGAAGAGAGACACCAAAAACCAAAAACTGATGCTGGAAGCAGCGTCATCAGCAGTGACTTGAAGCACAGAGCAAATGATGCTGGATGATGGTTGAAGTTCGTATAGCAACAGGAGTGACCAGAGTGGTTTGAACGGCTGCTGTACTGTGATGTGGAAAGCAATTGGAAAAACTACCACATTATCACTTTTCCTGGATAGTCTCTGGACCTGTCATATGACAGATTACTGATGAAATGAAAATACTGATTATAAGAAGCACAGGGAAATCCGAACTTAATGTTTGAGAATTTACTGAATTCCAGCAAATATTCTTCCTGGTTCAAGCCAAAGCCAAATTTAACTGCGTATTATTTTCCTGCATTTAGCGAATTTTGATGGGCACTTAGTTTTAAGATAATCAACCCTCCATAACTTGTGCAACTTTGGTTGAAACAACAATTGATATTGACATTTTCTCACTACCAGAAACTGTTAGCACAAAACCACAATCTTTGATGACACATATGTCACTCACTGAACATGTACCAAATTATATTATGTGTGGTATAAGAATTGTTTTGACTTCTGATTGTGGTTCTTTCAGTGTTCATTTCATATGCCATTATTTATTTCAGGAACTTGCTACTAATGACTATGCAATTGCTTTCATTTGGATATAAAAACTTTCTATAACTATTTATGTAAAGGAATTATTGATAATTATGTACAGCAAGTTTTTAAGAAGATGAAAGAGTTTCTTGATGCAGTATTGCACAACTTCCATTTAGTAAAAGTCTTGATATAGTGTACGAAAAACCATTCCACCAGTGACTGATTGATTAACAAGAGATTTCACAGTAATCTGTGGAAACTTTGTTCTTGTTTCAGAATCAGCTTACATGGACTCTAAGAGATGCACCACAGAGCTACAGAAATGGAGGAATTTCACTGAAGCTGAAAGATTAAACACCCGAAGAGTTAAGAATCTAGTCAACTCCATCCAACTGAGTCATACTTGAGAGGCTAATAATTGTGCAGTTACTCACGAAATTCCCCAACTTGAATGGAGCCCAAAGGGTTATTATTACGTTCATAAGAGCCTGCCATCACTCTCTGGCCTGACCCAGATGACTCCAGTATATTTTATCTAACATCCATTTTAATGTTATCCTCCCTAAAGTTTGTATGAATTTCTCTTTGCTCCTATGCAGGCTATGTGCCCTGCCCCTGTCATTCCTTTTGATTTGATCATTCTAGTAATATATGGCAAGGAGTACAAATAATGAAGTTCCTCCTTATGCACTTCTTCCTTTTTAGGTCCTCAGCATCTTGTTCTGAAATATTCTCAGCCCAAAGGTGGAAGTCTGACACTAATAACACCTTTAGTACCAGAACCTTTACCTGTTCCAGTGCCGGACGCTGTGGAGGTGTTCATACCAGAGTTCTTCAATATCTCAATAAGCTCGCAACGAAACGCTGAGATGTCTTGTTTGATTTCGTTGACATCATCTTCTGTTACCCCTTCACCCTCTGCCTTACGCTGTTCAACTGTCACATACCGCCGGACCAAATTTCGCATGATACTCTGCCAACACAAGAACAAGACTGATTCATTCTGGGGTTATTTATTAATGCTGTTTCAGTTACATCATGCTCAACAGTCTAACAGAACTCAGAATTACTGTGTTTTTGGACTTTGTGTATTGTCTGGTATTCTAAAAACTAGAGAATAGTGATTGAGGTCAGCTTTCTCTAAGGAACTCAACAGAGTAGGTGTCTCCCAGCTCATCTGAGGAAGCAAACAGATCCAGTTTTCGAAAAGTTGTATTCTCTAGCTTTCATAATACTGAACAATGGACAATGTCCAAAAAACCCAGTAATTCTGAGTGTTATATAGAACCGTCAGAACCCTTTAGAATCTAGCTTAACAGCAATACACCAAATCTACTAAGTGTGTTCAGGTGTGGAGTATCTGTCAGGGGCACATTAAAACCTACTGCTGTAACATCACACTATATTTGCCGATTATTGTCTCCTGGGATGTGACACCATGTAGCCTGGTAGATTGTTTCTGATAATAAAGTACTGTCTTCGTGTATATGATGCCATGTAATCTGGAAGATATTTACTGACATTTCAAGGAAATTTACTGCTTCAGCTTCAGAAACAAGCAAGCAAACAAGCTTACTGCTTAGATTACTATTCAATCCTGAAGATGGAGGTAGTACATTCTTCTGAAATAAAGATAAATTTCTAGTGTACTACATGGCATCACATCTCAGACGACGGCACTCTTCAAATGAACGATGTGTTTAGGAAATATGCAATGCCACAGAGATATTTTCTTAGACTCACCTGATAGCGAAAGTCCCGTTCACTTGCCTGTTTCACCTTCCGCTACAGCGACCCCGAGCCAGATCCAGTATAAAGTGAAGGGCAAAGAGAAAGGGCACACGTTAACCACACAAATATGTATACAACTGCATGTGCATGTTATAATTAACAGAGACTATTGGCCGCGCCATAGCTCAAGCGGTTAGTCGCTGGTTTCCCACCGCGGCGGCCCGGGTCCGATCCTGGGTCTGGTCAAGTGGGATTTGTGGTGGACAAAGTGGAGCTGGGACAGGTTTTCTCCAAGTACTTCGGTTTCCCCTGGCAATCTTCATTCCACCAATTGCTCCACAATCACCCTCACCTATCATCTGGGGTTGGTACAATAGGCCAGAAGTGACCGCAGTACAAGGGACTTAGTCCCACCCCACTAGCAATAAAGAATAAAAATAAAATAACAGAGACTAATGTGAAAGGAAAAACACTAATTAAAAAAGAGGCTACTGTAAACATCATGCTTAGAAAACATCTTGATTTTCTTAAAAGTCATAATTATCAGAAGATACTGTGGTCTTGAAAAGAATCTGTTCTCGAGATGCTGATGGACTGACTTGTTTTCAGCCTCCAGCTCTCTCCTGTTATGAAAAGTGGTTTTTGGTATGCTGTCTGTCTGTATGCATGGGATGTGCACCATGTTAATATCAAAATGGATGGAGAGATTTTGTTCCAATTCAGTACCTATTCATGAAATTGTCTATTCCAGGTCAATGTCTGGTGGGTTTTAACATTCCAGTTCTAAAAAAACAGGGGCCTATAGATGTGATCCAAAGCAGAAAATGGCGATTTTCTTGAAAATGGCTGCAACAAATTTGGAAAAATTTCTGTCACCTATGTAGACCACATCCCTAAATGAAACTGTACGTGTAGGATCTTGAAGAAGACAACAATACATGTGAAATGTCAGTTTCCTCGAAACTGGTTTTACCAGTCAGATAGCTTTCATTGTAGTTTGTCACTGAGTAACCAACTACCTACTGTGATATAATCAATTTTGTTTTCAAGGTACTGTAGTCAAGGCCAATCATACATACGAGTGTGTATTCAGTGTCTGTGAACCGATTTTCACTTTCCCATGTACGTAGTACACTGTTGCATACAGACCCATTCCTAAGCGGTGACTCTGTAAACAGTGGCCGCTGCTAGGTAACGCCAGTAACATAAATGCACACAACAACAGAAGAACAGTGATTTCTATGTAGTCTGCGCTGAGATATTATAAGCAAGGAACAAAGTTAGTTTGAGAGTTAAATTCTGTATGGGAGGCTGTGAAGAAAGAACTTGTGTGGGAAGCTGAAGAATCTCCACTGTTAGAAGCCATTGGCAGGGAAGGGCTGGAGAAGACTTAGCAGGCTGCAAAAAGGCTTACTGGGTGCTGTGGTGATTTGTGAAATGTGGAGGTTAGCAGTAATTCCTTGTAGTTCCAGGTCATGTGTATAAGTGGTCAATAAATCGAGTTACCAATCCCAACCCTGTCTATAGTCACCCTTACAAGTGATAACTGGTGTCGAATGTGGGAGAAGGTACTGGGGTGGGGGGGAACCAATACTGAGATATTTGAAAGATTAACATATTATCAGCACCCCTGAATACAATATGAGGAGGTACTATCATGTTCAAGGAATCACGCTCATGATTTTGATGGATTTACATATTTTCAGCACCCCTGAACATGAAAAATGGTATCTGGAGTGCCATCTCTATGCATGTATATGTATGTATGCGTCTCTCTAGCTCCTGAACAGCTGAGCAGATTTTATTCATATTCTGCATGGTGGATGTATAGACCCACGTTTTCTGGACCTCAGCAGTTGTTGTCAGCTTCATGGTCTGGCTGCTTCACACCCCATGGAAAGAGCCCCCGGTCTTCTTACAACAACTGTGGACTGAATAAATTCTGGCAGGAATACATCTGCTCTTATAACATGGGAATCAAAGGAGAAACGGAGTATGCATTATGGAATTCCATGTTATAGGATGTGATACATGCTGTTTCGAAATAATCGTTACACTGACTCACCCGTATCGTTCTCATGTGTTCCTTCTTAGCTGCTCTGGAGTGGCCACACAATTTGCGATGCAGCCATTGTATAAAGTACCAAACACTTTTGGGGGTTGGAATTATGTTGAATGGTGGTGGAACACTGCCACCCTCTTCAAAGTAGCTGATCCAAAGCTTACTCCGTGCAAATTTCCATTCAACATCTGCCCTTTCCTATGGGAAAAATAATTACTGCTTTCAGAAACGTGAAATTCATTGTAATAAAGTTACTGTAATTTCTATCTTCACAAATACAAGTAATGAAGTTACACCTCAGCTACTGAAATCTTTTACAAGAAAAGATTTTGAATTCGGTGACAAAACATAGTCAACCAAGAGCACTATCTGTCATCTGCTGTCTGTGTTGTGAAGTAATTTCATATTAATATCGCTTCGGATATCCTATGTGCCCTCAGCATTAAAAACAGAACAGTGAGTCTCAACCTACCCTACCTCTCTAAGATCCATTTTAATATTGTCCACCCACCTATGACTTGGTCTTCCCAGTGGTCTCTTTCCTTCTGGCTTTCCCACCAATATCCTATATGCATTCGTCTCCCCATTCGTGCTACATGCCCAGCCGACCTCATCCTCCTTGACTTGATCATTCTAATTATACTTGGGGAAAAGTACAAGTTATGAAGCTCCCTGTTCTCAAGTCTGTAGGCTTACTGTGTTTAATATCTGAATATGAAGTTTACAAATTTTGAAAATATGCATATGGAATCATAAACTATACCCACAGTCATCATAATTGTATCCATATTCACATATTTATTTCTAATATAATTGTCTATAAGTTTTCATTCCTCGAGCTCTATGGCTTGTGTCACATTCTTATGTAATAATGCATATCAATTATTACTGTGAACATGAGTTACATATATGTAGTCTATATTTGCATCATTCCTTTTCTATACTTGTAAAATCCGTATTGATGATATTTTTCTATGAACATAATATCTAGACTATTATGCCAGTAATAGTTACCTTCTAAGTGACATCTAGAGGAACAACGATATCCATAAAGTGCTAAAAATTGGCAACCCAATGAATATCAGGCAAAATACAAACTTCAAACACAATTTGATACAAGGAAGGTTGCAAAAATATTCTATGTCATATCAGATGTGCTGTTTTGAGGTTGTGCTTATCAAGCGTTGACATGCGTTCCTTGTATTATATAGAAACAGCCACAATTCAAGAAGACCAAAAAGATGTGAAGGAACATAAACGACATATCTTGGGAATGCTATTTCATTAGCGTACAGCAAATTAGAGTCCTTAAATAAGCGTTGCCTGAAGATGGCCTTATAAGGCCAAAACATGTAGCAGCATAACAACAAGAAGAAAGTTAATAATTTTAATAACATTTCATACATTTAATGATCATTATATGAATTAAATGTGAATTAATGTTATTAATGTGTTGCATTATAGATGGATAAGAAAAAGACTATAAAACATCAATTAGTAAATGCTATGTTTAACATATGTTGAGGCAGTTAATATCAAATTGTCAGTAGCCAATTAATATCTTAACATTGGCTTGTCTAATGCCCTGCTATATCACTCTATGACAGTATACTCTCTTCATGTTGTTGCATGGATTGCTAGCACTGAACTAACTTCTCATCCCACTATATGCTGCGCTTCAGACCTGTTTCTTAATAGAAACCCGCCATATATTGCTTCTAACTTATCGTCAGACTGCACTGTCAACTTCACATTTAGTTTCTCTTGCACTGTAACAACATATCTCCTTCTAGCTCACAGTGAGGCTCAACTTTGCAGCTTCTCTATAACAAAATAACACTTCTGCATTTTGGAAACTCCTTGGGGGATGTTGGTCCAGAACCATTAACAACGGGGTGGGGGAGAAGCCTAAGTATTTCTCAAAAAGTGTGTGTGTATGTGTGTAATGATTGTATAATAGCAATTTGATTCAAATACATATATGCATGGCCTGATGATGACCTACTGCAGGACGAACTGAACTAACTGAAAAGGCTTTGTATCTAATTCCTAAAGATTTATATATAAGCATTTATTGTATGAGGTGGTATAATGAATATAAAGTGCATAATTACGATCAGTTATTGATTCTGCCTTTCTTTATTGATGCATATTCAACTCAGTAGGTCATGTAGCATCAAGTAAGAGACTGAATTGTGAATGATAAACTGGAAGGAATTTTGAGGTAGTGGTCATGGCCTAATTTAGGGTACTACCATAGCCATGTGCCTTAGAAGTCAGCTGGCTCATCGGCCCAAATTTAACCTGGGACATTCCAAAGTGGCACATGGCTGCAAACACTTAACTAAGATATATAGTTAATTACAATCATTATTCATATTTTTGTCTTTTGAGCTATCACATCATTTTTTAGTCTAGTAGGTGGGCAAAAATGTTTCAAAGGGACATACTGTCTCTATCATCAGGACTGCAGTCACTTCAGACCTCACGGTATTGAAATGCAGAAGACCACAATACGAATCTTAATCTTCGTGAAAGCCTCAAATTGTATTTGTGGATACATATATACAAGGAGATTTGAAAGTGCTCTCATTCCTGAAATGAACTTCTGGGCATTTACAAATTGAGTGCATTTCCTGCCTTCTACCACAGAACACCTGCAGAAGCATGGTTAATGCAGTACAAGGCACAATCCTAGTGAGACACCAACAGACACCATGTACATAAAATGAACACGAGATGGATATCATGCTATTCATAGATGATGATACTTCCCATATCCTGTGATTCTCATATAATATTCTTTCGTTATCAGTCTTATAATTACAGCACAGTACCAATTATCTGAAACTACTGGGAGCAGACCTTGTTCTCATTGTTATCAAATATTGCAGTTGAATGGTTAGGATTCCTGCTTCACACTGAGGAGGTCCAGGATTCAAATCTCAGCCCATAGACTGTCTATCCTCACTGAAGTGTGCTGTGATCTTCCTCAGTCCTTCCAGATAAATGCTGGGATAGTATATCAAATTTGGCCATGACCACTTTCTTTCTTTTCTTTTGAATTTATCATTTGTTAATTGTCCATATGCAACAGAGTCTGAGCTACTGATTCCATTGCTAAATAAACCAAGTATAAATAAATATTGTTCAGATTATTTATTTATTCAGGAAATCAGACATAAAGATATCCAGGAATGAAGATTGGTGTCTTGTGTCATCTGAAGCCATGTACAAATATTTCAGAGGAACCTGCTGCCTCTAGCCACAGGGAAGTCTGTAAGATGGAGCAAACAGATCCTTCCAAAACCTTGTTACCTATTAACTATTATTATTATTATTATTGGAGGGGGTGGGTTTCCCCATGCACCGCGACCAGTAGTTGATCTATTGTATGTCCCCCTTTGATATTCTACCAGTTGCCGTATCCTACCAGTACTTGTGCGTGCTATTAGCCCCGTTCAGCCAACGAGGTCGGCCTTCGGTACCTAATACTTCCCCCATCTACCAGAGGCATTGGAAACTGCTTGGGCGAGAAACTTTTTGCCTAATTTAGCTCAGAGGTCTCCTAGAGATATGAGGATCTTTTACATGCTGTAAATCTACGACATGGGACCCACAGCTTAAAGTCCCTCCCGGAGGACTTGTTCCCATGTACCTTGAGTCATGAGGTGGGAACTTTACCCCTAGACTACGGAGGCCGCTTACCTATGAATTAAAATACATGGCAAGATATTCCAGAGTACAGTAACCTTCATAGTCACTGCTGTGAAAAAATCAGATGTCACTCATCAGCTGTAAGGTATTTAAATGCTTACAGATAGCTGTAATTTTACTTTCAACAACATCCATTTAGAAATTATAAGGAGAGTAAAAAAATAAAGTTTTATTCAAAATAAACACCTGACATTCTGACAATGAGTGATCAACTGCATTCACAGATGCTTTTTGTTATTGTTTCAGAATATAAATAATGAAGCATCACAAGTTCTCTGTGGGAAGTATTATCAGATTTATATCGTGTTACTTAACAACAGAGCTACCAACATTTGATTCCATTTTTTTCATTCTGATATTTGATGTGTTCAATTATAGGTTACAGTACTGATATGAAATTTAGATTTTACTGTAATTAGTTATGCAATGTTTATAGTAGTGATTTATATCATTACAACCTCAAGTTTTATATTTCCTTCATTATCTTGACAGAAGATTCATCTTTTGAAACTTTCTGATCATGTGATCAACTTACTTATCATTAGCTTTACATTTCCCAGACTATGCTCCAGCCACATATAGTCTTTGCACTCAAAGCCTTCAAAATCTACAGTATCATCACTGATCATGAGGAACTTCTAGCAATTCGCTCAATTCTGTCTTGTATTTTGGACATAACCAGTTCTAATCTTGACCATGACATTGACTATCCTGACTGAGGTCTTTCGTGGTCTTCCACAGTCCACATACTTCAACATCCATTCCAATTTATTATCATTAAATCACTTATCATTTGATGATATATAGACCAAACAGGTGACACCATCATTAAATAAACTATAAATGAACTTAGGCAAGTCCTCAAGACCTCAGTAGCAGTTTTTGGTTAGTAGCAATATTGTCAAGATGTGTTAGTGCATAGGAGATAGTATAAACAACTTACAGAAGTGATTTGATGGAAGTGGCGAAATTCAACAAGACACACAACAGAAGTCATCGGAGGTTGGAGTACACCAAAACACACCAACAACTACTAAGAAGGGGGATGCTGAACTGATATAAGTTTTTCCAAACTTACAGAACTTACGGAAATGAGCTGATAGGAGTGGTTCATCATAGCGATGAGGAGGTTCAGGAGAACGACAATGTTGATGACAGAGTAAGTTCCAAACATCAGCATGCCCCAGAACCGGGTGAAACTCTTGATGCCCGCTAACTCGAAGTTGTCCAAATCAATGAGGCCAAACACAGCCCAGAATAGTGTCTGAGTCGTCTCAAACAAACTGTAAGCCAAAAGAACTCCCTAGAATTCATGCCATAACAGGTTAATGCTGACGCTTAATTTCTGTTAACTCACCCACTCACTCACTCACTCACTCACACACACAGACAGTCACTCACTCACTCACTCTGTGGAACGAAGACGTTCTTGAGAAGCTGTCAGTTGTGCAGCTACTCAAGAATTTCCCAACAATTTATGGAACCTGAAGGTTCGTTACTGTGTTCACAAGAGCCCTCCACTGGTTCTCTGTTAACTGACTGGATATTAAAATACTGTAGCATCTCTAAACATCCTTTGATAATGATGTAGTTACATGAAGGTTGTACAAAGCATTAAGAATAAAATAAGAGCAGATAAAATCCTAAACCAGGACATCACGGTAAATTTAAAAGAATTAAAAGGTGTGTTGACAAAATAAAGGTGAAATTGGTATGGACTTGTGTTTTGCATAGAAGGGAAATGTATTTCTTTGATGGAATAAAGTATTAAGATGTGGAAATAAATAACCAATGTGGAGAAGAAGGGACAAAATATCAAGTGAACATAGATATGAAGGAGACTTATGACAGGACATGACAGAATGACCCACCTTGGTAAAAACATCAGTGGGTGATGACAAAGAACTCTATTTTAGGAGTTGCTACCTATGAGTATACCACCATATCTATATGATGGTTCAAACACTTAGAGAAACTGTCAATTAGATATGACTTGACCATATTACTTCCATTTATTAGACACAAACTATGACTGCTTGAGATATAAAAGCAGGGATCCTAAATGAAAAAAAAAATTCACTGATTTGGATCTGAGATTCTAATGGCACTGACTATGAAGAGTACAGCTTTCTGGGTTTAACACCAAGCAGTCTGGAGACAACCCAACATTTCTGGGGCACATGTCACCCCTTGCATTCCTTCAGAGAGGATGAGAGGCTTTCCATAAGGCAATATGTTCCTCTGAAGAATTAGGCTCTTTCCACTGGCACAGCCTTACAGCCCACAAGATCATACTCTGCTCACCAATTCATCTGTGTGGTCATAATTTATAAATAACCAGCATGTGCAGGAATGAGTTCTCCAGTCTGGGATGAGGCCTATGTGAGGATTTGTAGAACTTTCAAAAATTGCAATTAGGACAAGAATTTTCTCTACAACACAATTTTTCCACTGAAATCACAATTTATAACATTAGCCACATTTTAACAATGCACTGAGGTACTCTATTTAGGTCATTGGCTATCAGATTCTTTCTGAACAAAAACATTTCATAGATGATTGTATTAAAAAAAATTCATTCTAGAGGCATGTCCTTCTTCACCAGGGGGAGATAAATATGAGAAAGAAATGAACTCTGTTGACAAACTAATTCATGACAGCATTACAAACCTTTACAATTCTAATTCATGGAGTGATTTACAAGTTGCTACACATACCGAAAGCAATTATCTGAAAATTTTGAAAGACTAAGATGAAAATCAATGCCTGAATCGGTCTCAAAAGTCTTGCACTCATATTACATTCAATGACACAGCTGTAGGCAAAGACACCAAATTAGGATTTTAAATGACTCGTTAACACACTGTCATAACATTTAAATTCACTGCATACTTATGCTAGCAGACTGTTAATTTAATCTTTATCATTCTGGAACAGAGTCTTTAGAACAATTGGCACTATATGGTTCTTATATTTAAGCTTTGGAGACCAATACTAGTATAGAAAAAAATGCATCATACTTTTTTTTGACCATATGCATGCATGATTACTATAGAGCAAAGCATTGCCAACAGATTGCCTGAACTCTGAGAAATGAACTAACCTGAACTAGCTCAGAATGTGGTTCAATGTCAAGCTTTTCTAAAATGGCAGATCTTTAATCATACATAGCAGGCAAATTCTTTACCAGGTGAACAACTTCTGATGGACAATTCTGTACCTTGGAGTTCATTACATTAGCAAATACAATTGCATCAGGCCCACTTGGCTTCTTGTGACTGACATGAACATGAATGCACATTCATATTTTACAGCGTGCACCTACTTTGCAAATCGTCTCCACACAACACATGCATCTGGGTCACTGGGGTTCTTGGGATCAAATGTAGTTGTTGCATTAGGACAGCGCTGCTTCTCCATATCTGCATAGTACCACAGCAGCTGGTTCAAACCTGAATAAAATATAATGTAGGATTTGAGCTCCTTGATAAAAGATAATTATAAAAACAGTGGCAAGACTGGTGCTGACAATTAATAATATTTGTAATTATGTACAAGTAATTTCAAAAGAACTGAAAATTCTTAATTTGAAGTACAGGTCTATATTGAAATATTTTATTTTAAGAATATAAACAAGTTACGAGTATATTGGTAAAGAATTCTTAAGATATAGACCAGGAGGACAAAGAACTGTGGGGTTCCCAATATTAAGATTGTAAGTTGAATATAATCCTTAAGAGGATGGAACAGTCAATACATGGCAGATTCTCGGGATTAAAGGGGTATTTGACTTCGGCCATCATCCAGTATTCTAAAGAACAAAACGTTTCAGAAACTGGATTAATTCCCAGAACATTGTGTTCTTTAGAATACTGGATGATGGATGAAGTCCAAAAAAAAGTGTTCACAGAGTCAATACATAATTGTATCCATGATGTAAACGCCTTTGTGGTCTAGCGGTCAGCGTTCCTTGCTACAGATCCAGAGGTCCAGGTTCGATTCCCCGCACTACCAGATTTTTTCTGAGAAGTAGTGGGTCTGGAACGGGGTCCAATCAGCCTTGTGATGATAATTGAGGAGCTATTTGAAGGAAATGGCGGCTCCGGTCTGGAAAACCCAAATTAACGCCCATGGGGATTCATTGAGCTGATCATGCGACACCCTCCATCCACAAAAGTTGGCACTAAACTCCACTGACAAACAGCGATCGCTCGGTCAGTATAGTTCGCTTGCAGACTAAAATCACGGAGTTTTTTTTTGTATGATAATTATGATAATCAACAATATGTGATTTGATGTTCTCGGGGATATGACCTGTGTATAGTTTGGCAGATATGTACCAACACTGAAACCTGCTATTCCCATCTTCAAAGTGGAATGGCAGGCTGACTGTATATACGTCATCAGGTCTGGTGAATACAGCCCATTTTAGGGCACTGACATTTCCCTCGTTGGGTCCTCCTTCTTTTCCTTCTTCTTGCAGCCTAATTTATTTTGTAGTTTAGTTTATGTATTCCTCTGCTTCTACATCCAGCCACTCTGCCCCAGAACGAGGCCCGGTTTCCTTTTGTATCTCCCCCACATCTTCATAAGGGCCCTAGAAATGGCCATTGGCCTACGTTATCTTTCTTCCCATCCTGATTTACCTTTATGTCCTGTTGTTTACTCAGTAATTATTTCTTTCGTTTGTTCTCTTGAAAAACAATCCTTTCAAGGGCCAAACATTCGTAAAACATTGTATCTGAGGTTCTCACAGTGATGGCTATTAAGGGTTGCATCTTCTGGGATATAATATCATGAAAGTAAAGTAAAGCTATCCCTGTAACAGGCCGTGAAGGCCAATAGGGTTGTGAGACGTTGAGGGTTACACATTATCTAGACAACTGGCTCAAAGATGGCGGTAAGGAAAATTATAACATCATGTAGTCTATTGAATTTCACTGGATTACATGGCGTTTTATCTCAGAAATCAGAACAATTCACTCTGATACTGTTCTTCCTATTCCTATAAGCTTGCTCTGGCTTGAATCTGAGGCACTTTGTTCCACCAAAACGTTCATAGTGATCTACCCTATTATACATCATCACATCCCAGAAAACAGTAATCTTCATGTAAGATTTGAGGTTTTCACAGCGGTGACTATAAAGAAAGCAGTCTTCTGGGATGTGGCACCGTCTAGATGTGGTGTTAACAGACTTTCGGAGGAGCGTATCGCCTCCATCTTCAGGGTAGAAGGAAAAATAAGATATCCATAAGATAAGAGACCGTGAGAACTGGTACAAGCATTTTTCATTCTACCCTGAAGATGGAGGCGATACGTTCCTCTGAAACGTCGGTTAACACCACATCTACATGGTGCCACATCCCAGAAGACTGCTTTCTTCAGTAATCTTCATGATCAGAAATAGCTTATTTATTATTGTCAAAAAACATATACACTTACCGCAGGAGAAGGCAAAAAGAACTAAAACATAGAGGAAGAAGAACTTCATGATGTCCAGGACCATTCGACTGAGGGAAACCTGAAGAGGACCCAGGTACGGATTCACAGAAAATATATACACTAGTTTCAGTGAGCTGTAATAAAACATAGTAAAACAAAACATTGTTACATAACAGTAAAAGAAGATATTATGTAATAAAGTAAAAAGAAAAAGTAAAGCTATCCCTGTAACAGGCCATGAAGGCCCATAGGGTTGTGAGACATCGAGGCTCCCACATTATCTAGACAATCGGCTCAAAGATGGCGGTGAGGTTGCCAGCCGCGTTTTACTCCCCAGGAAAATTATTTAATTAATTCCTGGTACTCATTTCTGTTAGAGGCTGAGTGAACCCCAGGGCCTAGTGCGGCTGGAAGGATCACATCAATCGAAAAAACATCAATGACCTCATCGGGACTTGAACCCGGAACCTTCTGGCTTGTAGCACAGTGCCTCAACCAACCGCGTGCCCCAGATATTATGTAATATTAACAGAAAATATTGTTGCAAAGCAGAAACACAATGTAAGCATTGTTATGCAACACTGGCTCAGTGACAGTCTTCATGACCAATCAGCAAGAATGTGATCAACACTGTTAGGAACTAGAAACACAGTAATATATTTGATATCAAACACAACAAAATGATGGCTACTGTTATAAAACAGTACTGGAATGGATTTCACGGTTATGCAATGACGCTTACTGTTACCAAAGAGGAGCTCAATGACATTTGTTATTCATTATATGTATACAGTGGCCGTCTTGTAGTGCACTCAATTATTAGCAAACTGTAACATAATGACATTTAGTGTTATTAACAGGGCCCGGATTTTGATGACCTGTCATATTTTTTTCCTTGTATCCTATGCGATGCTCTTAAATATATAAATCTCGGATATGAGCTGCTGGTTACAGAAATGTAAATTTTATAGGTAATTTTTTGTCATTTTTTGATATTTTTAGGTTTAAGGTTTTTTTTTTGTAAATTTTTGGACTTTTAAGGGTATTTCGTGTCATTTTTGGCTATTTTAGGGAATTTTTCTTCATATGTTTTCTGAAATGTGAATAACATGAAAGCGAAGTGTTCTTTCTTTTCTCTTTAAGTCATTTTTGTTGACTTTTTCAGTCATTTTATAGGTCTTTTTTTAATATTTTCAGGTCATCAAAATCTGGACAATGCATATTACATTTTTGTTGATTTTTTCGGTCATTTTATAGGTCATTTTTTAAATATTTTCAGGTCATCAAAATCGGGGCCCTGGTTATTAAAGAGTAATTAAATGATATTTATTGCTACCAAGGAGCGGTCAAATGATATTTATTGCTACCAAGGAGCAGTCCAATGATATTTATTGCTACCAAACAGTAGGGTTGAAGCTTGCTGCACCAAAGAGTAGGCTAATGTCTTTTACTGTTACTATACAGTAACCAAATCACATTTAATGTTACTGAGGAATAAGTGAATGACATTTATTGGTACTGAATAGTAACACAATGATGTTTATTGCTACCAAAAGTAACCCTAATCATGGTTATTACTATGAAACAATTACCTGATAACATTCATTGTTACTAAATATTAATGCCGTACCAATTATTGCTAGCTAATAGTGACTTAATCATGTTTATTGTTACCAAAGAGTAAAGTAGTGCCCTTTACTGTTGCACACAATAAACGTTTACTCAGTAAAGTTAACTGTCATTAAACAATAACACAACAATGCTTCTGAATTTTATTTGTTAGGTGGCCTGTTCGAATCTCGGCAGGAATATCAGTGATTCAGGCAGTACCTTCAGCCACAACTGCTTCCTTCCAATTCATCATTCATTGTTATTCAATCATTGCGTGCTGTATAGCCTGATTCACTGACGGCATTATTAAATAAATAATGTGGCATATTTGCTCAAAGCAAGAACTGTGGAGCCAGACAAACAGCTGTTGCTAGGTAATGGAACTGAAGAATCATTCGTCTCTAGGCAACGGCCGCGAAACAGACAATGGAACAACGTCCGAAATGACTGCGCTGGCGAGGACCAGCAGCAATTATATAAGACAGATTCGTCCTCTCGTCAGAGAGAGTTCCCGCATCAACAAACCCGCAACTGTCTGACGGTAATAAAAATCTGCTTGTAAGCCCAAGATGGGTACTTTATTCCAAAACAGACTGGCCGACTGACTGTCGGTCGTAACACAAGACTCGACAGTTGGAAGGGAGCCTCCATTAAAGTCAGGACTTGAGCCCGGAAACAGAGGAATAGCCATTGTAGAAGCCGTTACCAGGAGACGTCTATTGGACTGAGAACAATAGTCTGTGCGGAGATGTGGTGCTATAATTAAGTGTAATTACAACTTGAGAGCATAAGTGGTCGGTAAATCCGAAAACCCCGTTGAGAGTGACACTTATACACGTGACACTACATATATAAAACGGTAATGCGTTTTTAAAATATATATTTTGTCATGTTATTACCTGAATATATTGGCAGCAGAGAAGAGGCCCTCTGATATGAGCATGGGGTCCCATGTATCCCAGTCCTCACGAGGAAGCTCGGTAGTTTGCATCTTGGCAGCCATTTCCTTCTGAACCTGCGCAATATGAAAACGAAAGTCATCGTGCATATTTCCGGGAACATGATAATTTGTGTTGCTGCAATTTGCAGGTGTCATACTGCTCCTAAGAATCGAGCTGAAGCCTCATGTTGCAGAACTGAGGTCTACTGCACTAGCCTCATGCGACAAAATACAATTCAGTAAAAGCCTCATATGTGCAACAATTGCAAGAAACGTTACGTAAGAAATCTGTGTTAATGTCTCAGGATAAAGTAATATCCTCCACCATAGAGAAAGCGAGGCAAGTCAAGGGTAAAACCGATTGATGTCGGACATTCTATCATTCGTTTGGGGCCACAACGAGCTTCATTATACCAGTACCAATTGTAAGAGTTGTTAAAAATGAAGTTCGTGTTTTCAGTTTGTACGGTACACTTGGGTGGGCTCAGGCAGTTGTCTCGCCTTCTGCGTGTTGGAGGATGGGTCAATGTGTATGCTTTACCTGGTGATAGGCGACCACTCTGAGAGCAACTGTAGCCACGTACAGTGAATTGGTTACGAAGTCAATTACATTCCACATGTCGTTCGCATATTCCTCCAAACCAACGTCCCACAGCTGTTTCACCTCGCTCCAGATCAGCCCTGAAGGCAACAGAACAGCAGGATAACAGCGTTCTGACTAAAACATGTATCTCTTCTGCTGTAGACGTACATATCAGAAATTCTTAAGCAACATGTTGCTATGAATCTTACCAAAATACTTATACAGAAAGCCGGGAGAGAGCAGTAGGTACAGCTACTGGCTACGGGCTGGACGACCGAGGGGTCGGAATTCGAGTCCCGGTAAGGTCAGGAATTTTCCCTTCTCCATGTCGTCCAGACCAACTCCGCGGCCTACCCATCCTCCTATCCAATGGGTACCGGGGGACTCTTTGCCTGGTGGTAAAGCGGCCAGGACGTGAAGCTGACCACTCACCTCCAGCTAGTGCCGAGGTCAGGAAAACGTGGGTCTGTATATCCACTCCCACATACGTCTTAATGGCGTAGTGTTTAAGCAACAGCGTTACGTTTCCCGATACAAAAGCTATTTTAAATCCGCAACGTAGAAACAAGATGTGACGGAATATCGGGAACCAAACCGTCCCTTAATTAAACAATTAATCGGCCCACCTCTTAATTCATTTATCAGTCTATTAGTTTATATATCCATTTAATCACTCATATTTTTTTTTTCCTTGGCACTACAGCCGCAGTGGGCCTAGGCCTACCTCCATGAACTCTCCGTTTCACTTCGGTTTTTCGAGATCTTAGACATTAGGTAGGATTCCTTGGGCGGGTGATCAGCTCGTCGCAAGGCCTCTACCTGTACACAAACACAGAAAAACGCACACAAACATCCATGCCCTGAGTGGGATTCGAACCCACGATCCCGACTTCCTAGCGAGCGGAGACAGTGCATGCCTTAGACCGCTCGGCTACCGTGACCGGCAGTGTATAAGAATAATATATAAGAATTCGGTTCGTACCTCACAGGAAACAGATTCGAACCCACGATCCAGGCTTCCGAGGGAACGAAGAGAGTGCATGCCCACTCATATTTTACCTCTGCTTATTCATCTGTCGGTCCATTCACACATTCGCCATCTGCCAGTATAGTAAACCGTCGCTAATCCAGATTAACTGGGGGAGATAATCTGGATTAATGAAGCAAGAGATTTAACTAAGAGGTAAAAAACATTAGAAAACAAATAAATGAAAGCGTTTATAATATAAGTTGTGCTGATGAAAACAAATAATAAAATATCACTGCAGAGTCTTTACTTAAAAGATATAAAAAGACAAAAAACTGGAGATCAGGGTCTCCTTCATCCAGCTCAAGACAATAGTGCACATGCTCTTGCTTGGTTTGAGTCTCTCCAGCTGCTCGCAACACAGCCTGAAAGTCCTCTTGCTCCTAAATCCCACGTCTCTTAAATTATGTACTCAACTGTGAACAGAATTTTTCACTTTTCATGTTTCGAGCCGGCTTTTCCGACATCCATATTAACTCTAACCGGATTAGCGAGGGTTTACTGTATATTGATACACCCACCCATCCATTTTAGCTATCAGACCAACAACTGATTCATGCATCCCTCCATTTGCATATAATCCCTCCAGCTAACCGTACCTCTACGTCTCCATCAATCAATCACACATCCATCCCCTGGTTGAGAGCAAGATGAGAGGCACGGCTCAGGAAGGCTTGAAAGAGGAAGTTACAGTGGTTCTCGTAATGAATGAATTGTATTGAAACGAGTAGGTTGAGAGTGGAAATATATAAGAAGACGTTAGACGCACGACAGTCCTGACAGAGTCTAAATGACCAACTACAAGACAATATGAGAACTGCACCACGCATCATAAGAAAACAACGCCACGAAACATAACCTCACAACATTCAACTTACACACGGTATGACATAAATACGGAGTGACGTATGCGCACGCGCAAAACATCAATACCATCATACCCACTAAGGAAGAACGAAGACCAAGAAAACCAATGTACCAGAAGAATTGCCATATAACCATTTTAAATATATTTTAATATTAATTCTAACTTTAATTTTAATTTCATTAATTTAAATTAATTTTAACTAATTGTAATTAATACCAATAGAGCTTAAGCTGAAGAGTAAATAACTAGAGGTTTTGTTACTTAGCAAATGTCACATATCACATGGTGAAAAAAAATATAGATCCGTATTAAACAAAAAGCTCCGCACCTAAGCACAAGTGATACACCTGATGATGACTCAATATGGGTCGAAACATGTCGTGTTAATATTTTCGTGTGAATAACCTATGTTAGTATTTTTATATGAATTGCTGTGATGACGGTTATAAATATACTGATTAGTAATTAATGAGATCATGTAGAGGAGTATTGTCTTCTATTAACAAAAATTGTATCTGAAACATGCAGAAAATTACTTACCCAAGATCAAATACAAATAAGAAGACAGAGAAAGCGGGGAAACAAAACAAAGAGGAATACATAAATTAAAATGAGATACTAAACTGTTCTGTCTTCTGGGATATAGCGCTGTGTAGTTCTGATGAAGGGAACGCGTTCCTCCGAAACGTAGGATGACTCTGAACGGGCTACGAACCGCTATATCTCAGAAGACAGAAATCTAGTCATTCATGCAGCTACTGACCGCAAACCCAAGCGAGTATGAAGCACTCCACGATAGAAGGAGGTGCCCCCCGCTTGGTGCTGACGTCGATGGGCCCCGGGGGACTATGTCGTTGTTCCTCATCACCGAACCAGTCGCCAATCACAGACTCTATCCGCTGCGACGCCAGGATCAGCAAGACTGCGCCACAGAACATAATTATGCATACATTGATTTACTGGACATGCAAGCTCATCGAAGTGGCCGTTACAAGTACACGTCATCACCCTTGTCCTCTTGCCTCATAGCTGCTAGGCCAAATGTTTCTATCTCGAATCTTATTTACTTAAAGGCTGACCAACTATAAGGCACGTGATGGGTTACACTGTACCTCAGGCACATTTCTGTGTGTCTAAATATCCCTGAAGATCCACATATCAGCAGACGTCACTTGATTGTTGCATCGTCATTTAGATGTTACTAAATTCTATTTTGGCCGCGCCATACCTCAAGCGGTTAGTTTCTGGCTTTCCGGGTTGTTATTATCTTCCGTACTGGGCAGTGCAAAGTGCTATTCTGAAAAATGCTTTCTATAAGGTGCGACAAGAGCATTGGCGGTGGATTTGCGGAACCAAGGGAACGGTGGTCTAAAGAAGTTTGAAAACAACTGGTACGTACGGAGGAGAAGAGCACTGAACTCTCCCAAGTCATTCAGCAAAGTGGGGTGGGGTGGGGGGCAGTTTCGATGTATACACAGGTGCGTCCACATCACTCGTGCTCGTGCTCGTGTGACTCGCTATGCTCACGAGTAACGTGGACGATATGACAAGTCACGAGACAAGCAAATTCTAAATTCTTAATTTAAAAACTACAGCCAATAAATTAAAATACGACTACAGCCTATACACACTACAAGTAAATAAACGGATCCTCAGCGCCGAAGCCTGGCGAGCAACTGAAGTAGTGTGGACGAAGATTTAGGAGCACAAGTAAAATCAAGACGAGTCTCCCGACGAGCACAAGCTTGGCGAGCAAGAGCACGCGCCTTTACATACAACACATAGTTCATCCTTCATGGGTTCAAACATTTCGTGAAAATAATTATCTGTTTGGTTGGAAATTTCATAAATACAGGAACTTAACAGTACATAAACTATAATAACGGAAAGACATTAACTGAACTAATAAAAGATAAATCACTGACCTGAGAGAATATCCAATTACCATGATCTCCTGGTAAGAAAGATAAATAAGTAGGCAAGTCAAACAGCACAAATGAGACTTTCAAGTAGACGGGAAAAATTAAAGTGGGACAGTGAACTGTTGATATGCTATGTCTGAAACATCGTTGAGTGGCATCAATCGTTACGTCATCGTTAGAAAGTTTTTAAACTATCTCTGAGGATGCGTCATAATCAGACAATCATAATCTTCGCACCGCAGATTTCGTTTACACAGGGATTTTTCTTTCGTAAGGTAGTCTTCTCCAAGTATAATTTGAATGATCAATTCAATGCGGATGAGGTGGGAAGGGCATGTAGCACGAATGGGGGAGATGAGGAATGCGTATAGGATATTGGTGGAAAAGCCAGAAGGAAAGCGACCACTGGGAATACCAAGGCGTAGGTGGGTGGACAATATTAAAATGGATCTTAGAGAGATATAATGGGATGGAATTGATTGGATTGATCTGGCTCAGGATAGTGACCAGTGGAGGGCTCTTGTGAACACGGTAATGAACCTTCGGGTTAAATAAAATGCTGGGAAATTCTTGAGTAGCTGCAGAATTGGCGGCTCCTCCAGAAGGGCTCAGCTCCATGAGTAAGTAAGGTTGCTTATCAAAACTGTGACGTACCTTAAAAGATGCTTTAGACAAAGAATAATATAGGTCTAAAGTAAAAAACTTATTCGAGGTATATACAACTGCATAACGAAACTGATGTCTGCCGGAAGAAGTGGGGATGTAATATTCATCAGATGTCAGACTGCAAGTTACAAAAAAAAGTATATCTCAGGGAAGGCGGAATTTAGGAAGACCAGGAGTGAGGTGGTCTGAACAGTTTGTACGAGGTCGATATGGGTTCAAACGACCTAAATCTCGCAAGGAAGACTAACACTGAGGAAGGCTTCCACAAATAAACATGTCTGTTGGTGCATTAGTTATTTTACGGAGATAAATCAATCACGGATGTTGCTTTTCCTCACATACGATACAATGACTTATTTCAAGCCAGACTGCATATTACAAAAAGAAAAATAAACTCTTACACCTCGAGGAAAGAAGGATTTAGGAAGATCGTAACTGAGATGGTATGAAGGGGTGGGAGGGCATAAACCTTTCAACAAAGAAGGAGAAGGAGACGTTCCCTAACTACAAACGTTAATTAGTTCCTTGGTTATTTAAGGATACTGTATCAATAACATGTTATTATGGGCGGAGAATTTATTTCAAGGTACTAAGCTAAAATGCTAGGTATCCCTGTAACATGTCTTGGAGGTCCATTGAGTTGTGAGACATCGAGGATCCCATATTTTCTAGACAATCGGCTCACAGATGGCGGTGAGGTTGTCAGCCTTAAGCACCGGTCGCCCTTTACCCCCAGGAATATTCCTGGTACTCATTTCTGTTAGAGGCTGAGTCAACCCCAGGGCCATAGTGCGGCTGGAAGAATTAGGTTAACTGAGAAATCCAGTGACCTCATCTGGAATCGAACCCGCGACCTTCCGGCTTGTAGCGTGGATCCTCAACCAACTACGCTACAGCGTGCCTTCTTCAAGGTACTGCACGGATATTAAAGTGGAAGGATTCAAGGAAAGTACGAATGACCTCAGCTGATGGCGCAGCAGAAATTAGAACAAGATACCTCTCGCCTCGTTTCGGCTGTGACGTGGTCAGCAATAAATCGTGCGGTCTCCTTTTAAATCATAGCCAAGGATAGGGTCCCCAGACCGCCTGCAAACCAAGGTATAGACATTGTGCCACATAACCGTGACGGAGAAGTTGCCGATGAAGCAAGGCGTTGCAAATAAAACTATCTCAAGGCTGGATAAGCTTCCTGATATGACTTAATGCTACAATTTAGGTTACCATGACAGTGATTATGATCAGTCCTGTCTTGTGCGATTTGACGCCTTGTAGGCTGGTAGATAATTAGTGACGTTTCAGAACATAATGCCAGGTGCCAAATGTACCATCCATCTCATTATTGTTTGCTTAATCTTACTTACTCATGGAACTGAGCCCTTCTGGAGGAGCCGCCAAATCTGCAGCTTCTCAAGAATTTCTCAACATTTTATGGAACCCGAAAGTTCATCACCGTGTTCACAAGAGTCTTCCACTGGTCCCCATACTGAGCCAGATCAATCCAATCCATAGAATCCAATCTTTCTCAGATCCATTTTAATATTGTCCACCCACTTACGCCTTGGTCTTCCCACTGGTCTCCTTCCTTCCGGCTTTCCCACTAATATACTATCCAATAGGATGATTCACCGCCTCTGTGGTCTATTGGTCAGAGTTCCTGGCTACAGATTCAGAGGTCCGGGTTCGATTCCTGGCGCTACCAGATTTTCTGAGAAGTAGTGGGTCTGGAACGGGGTCCACTCAGCTCGTGAGGGTAATTGAGGAGCTATTTCAAGGAAATAGCGGCTCCGGTCTAGAAAACAGAAATTAACGGTCGTGGGGATTCGTTGCGTCGACCACGCGACACCCTCTATCAGTTAAAGTTGGCATTAACTTCGCCGACAAGCGTTGGTCGCTCGGTAGGTATAGTTCGCTTGCGGACTCGAGCTACGGAGATCTTCTTTAATAGGATGATTCATGGAGAGGGACCAATTATTGAAGTGAGAACTGGCAGGGGTAACCGGATTAGTCGGAGAAACCTTGTCTTAGTGTCGCCTCACCTGGGATCGAACCCGTGCCGCCGCGGTGTGAAGCCGGCTATGTCACGGCCTGACTATGTTGAATAAGCAATTCAAAGGGGTAACGAGGAGCACTGCTCCAGTTTCGGGTTCGGCTGCGTGGGCAACCATTCGCCATAAACTGTATTGATAAAATGTATCAAAGGTGACGTGAGAAAAATCAGGTGTGAATAATTACTTACTTTTACTGGGATGTGCAGTGCTGCCACTCTGTTAAGTGCAAGAATGTAAAAACAATTAAACCGACAAGGCAACTTGCGCTTGTTAACACCACGTGAACATATCTAGACTAAGCAAATTCGTTCAAACAGTATTGCTTCTTCTTTGTATTCGGGAGTTCTCTGTTCGAACCTTGGCCCTGACATTTATTATCCTCATTGAGCTTATTCTGGCTTTCCTTACTAAAATGCTGGAATAGTACCTTAAATTAAGCCACGGCCACTTCCTTTACTATTCTTTATCGTCCAGTCACTCGATATATGCCGCCTAACTTACTGGCAGCGTTGTTAAACAAACTACAAATTACAACAAGAAGTTCTAGGAAGAACTAATCGACTACTTTCAGAGTCACAGTTACTTTACGACTGCCGATTTATCGCCAATCAGTTCATCTTGGCGACAAGCCCTTTGAGGCTCACGATCAGTAATTTTATTTTCCAACTGAACACTTGCAGTTATAGTCCTTATTGTAACATCCTCTCTGATGGGAGGACGGGTTTGTCGTTTACAATTGCTGATAGTCCTCGCCATCGCAGTCGTTTTCAGGTCAGAGTCCCGCGGAACTCACAACCTCTTTTACTGTCTCAGATTCGAGACTCCCCCAACCTTGAAGGCCAGGTCCCTGTATTTATATCCCCCACGAACAGGGTGGTCCGGTTATAGCCCCAGGAACTGCGTTTCGTTTTCGTCGTCTCCTACGACTCGCAGAGCTACGGTGGTGTTCGACCCCGCCTCCACACGGGATGAATTCTCGAACCAACTCCGCCAACTTTCCCTTCACTTCATTCTGAGTATTTGATACGACAAGAGCGGTTTAAAAAACCCCGCGTCCAACAGTTCTTCTATTGTTGCACTTATATTCGATGCCGCGGGAACGTGTTTACCTAGCAGTTGCCTAACAAAAATCCGTTGCCTATCTACGATAGGCGGATACACAGACAAACAAACAGCAAGGTGATCATAAGCCTCGTTTTACTCGGGCCTACTTCCCTTATTTTGGAAAAATAAAAGGAGGTTTATGAGATCACCTTTCTGTCTGTGTGCCAGTCTAATTTTTTTCGTTTTGTATGAGGTCTATGTGGTATCAGAGGGAAGCAGATGATTAGTTGTAAGATTTGAGGTTTTCACGACGGCGACTATGAAGAAAGCCGTCTTCTGGGATGTGGCGCCCTGTAGAAATTGTGTTCACCGACGTTTCGGAAGAACGTATCGCCTCCATCTTCAGGGTAAAGACAAGAATAAATCTGTGAGCGAACCAGCTATAGCAGGTGAAACAGACTCAGATGATTAGCTCTTCACAGAACTTCGTGTTTCAAAATAACGAAATATGATATGATCATATGATCATAATTCCGGTATGGATATATTTCCTTTATTCTCCGACTATGTTTTGGCTGAAAAAAAGATGTGTATTCATTATACTTGCAAACAAACCTGTACAGACCATGGAGTAGCTGTTAGTGCTTTTTCGCTACCATTAGGTTTTAGCTGTATTGTTGACTCCAGTGGAGCTCGAGGGAGTACTGTGTTACAAGGCATGTTCATAAGCTGCAGCGAGAGCTATCGATCATCGACCGTCTCGTCTGAGTGGCGTGAAGCGCGAACTATCAATACCTACGAAAACATTTAATTTCATATTCCGAATATGAAAAATTCATAGCATGTTTGAATTATGCATTTGCTAGTGTAATTTTGGCAAGTATAATCGATCCCAAAGACGCGGACAGGGCTTGCTAGGCCACTCCCACAACTACAAGCCTGGAAGGTAAATCAGCAGGTCCAAGTTCAGTCCCCTCCCATGATGTACTTGCTGAGTTACACATCGATGTGTCATGAAGAAGTTGGTGGTATCCTACTGACCTTCTAAGTCAAAGTAGTTACTCGTACTACGTATATATTTTAGCGTGTAGAGCCGTTGCTATGCAACGACGGCGAGATGGACGGATACACCAGGGCCGTTTCTGGGCAACGGTTCGATAAATAACTTCCCTCAGCAACAGACACCAAACTAATAATACAAAAGCTGTTTCCTATTTGGTCCTTGCCGCGATGTTATAAGCAACGGACAAGGTTACAGCTTAAGTTGGTACCCAAATTCCACGTTGCACTGCATGCCTCACATGCAGCCCTCCCATTGTTAACATCAAAATTTCGTCTTAATATAGCCCTCCCAAAGTTAGCAAAAACAAAAAACAACNGGTAATGCTGTTATATTGGTGATCTAAGTACAATGAAAAAGAAGGACAAGCGGGCACTGCCTGGGATCGTTCATAATCGGAGCTATAGTTTCTTACCCCCCCTCCCCCAATGTAGTATCTCTCACTACCACCCCCACTTTTTCGCTCATGTTACATGACGGCTGGTGGACAATGAAATGGAAAGGACACGAAGTTTGGGTTCTGCAGTTTATGTTATAACGCTGTCCATGTATAGACATGCGATGAATGGCAGCATGCTTGCCGAATGATGCAAAGAAAACGGCAAGAGAGGAAATGGCCGTGGCCACTCAAGGCACTAAGGCACTAACCCAGTATTTGCCTGGAGGGACTGATGAAGATCAACAGAAACCTAAAAGAATGGCCGGTCTCTGTGTCGATACTAGAAACTACGACCTCTCGAATGCGAAGTTGGAGTTTTACTCATTCGAGCTCTAAATAGCTCAAGCGGTTAGTCGCTGACTTCCCATCACGGCGGCCCGGGTTCGATCCCGGGTCTGGTCAAGTGGGATTTGTGGTGGACAAAGTGGCGCTGGGACGGGTTTTCTCCGAGTACTTCGGTTTCCCCTGCCAATCTTCATTCCACCAAATTCTCCATCATCATATTCAGCCGGGGCAGGCTACAATAGGCCAATCAGTGGCCGCCGTGCCGAGTGGACCCAGTTGGACTCCACCCCCCACTAAACGAATTAATTCTTAACTTGGGGGTACGGTGGAATTTCTGTTAGCATGCGCAATAAGTAGTTTTGTAGAGCACGCTTACTATGTGATGACACAAACCTCAGCGAAGGAAGGGAACTTAAGAGGAAACGAGACAGCCCGTTATGCTGGCTGCCAGCAGTAAACTGAACTGTTTGCTCTCTATATCTTCTGTAAGAAATTATGGAATCATCCGTACAGCCCACGCACGAAAACATTTTTCTACTCATGTGACATCAGGCCGTAATCTAGAGCTACAGACCCTGCGTACGCGGACCGTGTACTCACAGAGGAAAGTGAAGTATGACGCTGAGTGGCAGATGAACTTGATGAAGGGCTTCCTCAGGGTCTGCCCGAACTTGGAGTGCGGTGCGACGATGTACATGGCGGAGAAGACGGGGAAACCGATTCCGATGCGAACTATTTCCAGGGCCTGGAGGACCATGTTCTTCCGCCGGAAGCCGGGTAATCCTTCGTACCAGATGGACGCCAGAAGTTGCTGGACATTGGGGTGTGCCACAAACTGCGGACAGACACGATTAAGGTTACTGTCGCTCAGAAAGGGCAAGCTGCAAGAGCAGTTGCGCTTCTGGCTTTATTTGAGAGGTGCTGCGTTCGAATCTTGAATACAATACTGGGAAAATATGACTCAGGCTTCTTGTGTTGTATTCCTCGGCCCCTCTAGGAACATGGAGGCATTACTTACTTACTTACTCATGGAGCTGAGACCTTCTGGAGGAGCCGCCAATTCTGCAGCTACTCAAGAAATTCCTAGCATTTTATGGAACCCGAAGGTTCATTACCGTGTTCACAAGAGCCCTCCACTGGTCCCTATCCTGAGCGAACATTGAGGCATAGTACCTCAAATTAGGTTAAGGTCGTTTCCTTTCATATCCTTTCTAATTCATTACTTTTCATTGTTCACTCATCCAACGTTGTATAATACGAGATACCGACAGCCTCGTTAAATAAATCACATAGGAATAAATATGTAAATAAACAGAGCTGTCAGTTACTATACCGAGACAAAGGAAAAAAGTTCCAAGGAAAACCCCTGATCATATCTCCCTCGACCTCTTACGTTTTTCCTTTACCCTTTCACCCCCACATTTATTAAATGATTATTATTATTGTCAATATTTAGGGTGTTATTATTTTTCTTATTAGTCCGTAGATTTTGCTTATGAAGAGATTTACTATCAACAGGAGAGAGAACAGAGCAAAGAATATTAGCCCACTCACTGTGTCCTTGGAAAATGGTCCTTTGTGAGGCCAAGATATTCACTCCGTTTTTCGTATTCCCATTGGTTAGCTCACAACCCCGGTTCTAGTCCTCTCTTTTTCTATATTAGTGATATTTTCAACACCGGGCATATTGACCCGTGTGGAGGCGGGGTCGAATACCTCCACCGTGACCCTGCGAGCAGTAAGAGGCAACGAAAATGGAAGTCTCAAATCTGAGACAGTAAAATATGGTCGCGAGTCCCAAGGGACTCGGACCCGAGAAAGACTGCGCTGGCAAGGGCCAGCAGCATGTACAAAAGACAGAACCGTCCTCTCGTCAGAGAGGGTGCCCCACAGAAACAATACCGTAACTGTCAAACAGTAATAAATGTCTGGTCTTTATCCCCAGAAGGAGCTTACCAAGACTTTCTGACTGACTGACCGTCAGTCGCAATGTGACTTTGACCGGGCATACTTTTCAACCATGAGGATGGAGGCAGAAAGTATCTCCGAGATATTTGTAACTGTCTTTGCACGGCGTCACATCCCAGAACAATGACTGTTAGATCGAAATAGGCTTGAGCCCCAATCGGTGGAGGGAATAATAATAATAATTCATTACAATATTTCATTTTTACTAGCTAACTCAACAGCTACAAGAGACAGTTACATAATCTGTAGAATAGAACAAATAAAATGTGAAGGATTCAGCACAGGGAAGTATGACAAATATATACATAGAAAATATCTCACTGCATATTGTCACGTGTGACTTTCGAAGGGGTATGGATTGATAATTGGATTTTTTGACCTCGTACGCATCCTAAATACAAGTAACTATAACAGTCTCACTGAATTACGCACTCCAAATATCACAATAACTACAGCATACATAAAGCCTTATCAATCTTCCCTAGTCGTTTCCTGGTAACGGATTTTAACACTGTCTTCCGCTTACGTCCTTACCGTCTGCTTCAACTAAGTCACAGGCTGGCGGTCACCTCACACCAACCTCCCAGTCTTCTCTTCACAGAATGACCAACTAAGCACTCATGTAACTAATTACCCTAAACCATCCCAGATATAACATCTCGGTACGGATCACGCAGAAAACACCCTTCCTGTGTTGCTGTAGCATTGTTGCGTTCTTGTCTGTTGGGATTCCCAAGTGATCCTTACTCAGCCAGTCTACTGGATCGCTGGTGGCTGCCTAGTAACGGCTGTTTGTCTCGTTTTTTGCGGCCGTTGCCTCGAAACGAATGTTGTTTCAGAGCCATTCGCTAGCAACGGTTGTTTCTCTGGCGTCACAGTTTTATCTTCTATCAGACATGCCGCAATATTAAACACGGCACAAGCATAATATTATAATAACACTCAACGTATCAAAAGTTAAAGAAGCGATTGTCGAACATACTGACTTTTTACAGGTACCGTTCGCAGCTAAGGCGCGGCGAAAAGAATATTTATCACTTGAAAACAAAACAGAAATGATTAAAGTCTCTAATATTTCTAACTTTACCTTTGATAACAACTTCTGAGAGCGATAATAACACACGTATGAAGTTTTCTTATGAATAATCCCTCAAAATAACTCAAGTGTCAGGAATAAAGTTTGGATTTTAAAATTATCTAACACACAAAAACAATAACAATTGGCTGCATGTTAGTCTTTATGAAATTTCTGCATTTGGTAGACAATTGCAGACCTCGTCGAATTTGTACAGAATTGCTAACTCGAGTCTCATACGTACACAAAATACGTCGCCGGGACTGAGTGTCGCGGAAGAAACAGGTGAAATGCTAGCTATGAACACACCTCCCCCAAACAAACAAACAAACAAACTCCGCGATTCTAGTCCGCAAGAGAACTATACCGACTGAGCGAACGCCGCTTGTCGGCCTGGTACAGGGATAGCTTTACTTTTTTACTTCTCTTTTGTTCACATTTTTCTTATCTTTAACTTAGCCTTTTATGAATTCCTATATTCTTATGTCTGTTTATGCATTTCTTCGTTCTCTTATGAAATTTCTGCATTTGGTAGACAATTGCAGACCTCGTCGAATTTGTACAGAATTGCTAACTCGAGTCTCATACGTACACAAAATACGTCGCCGGGACTGAGTGTCGCGGAAGAAACAGGTGAAATGCTAGCTATGAACACACCTCCCCCAAACAAACAAACAAACAAACTCCGCGATTCTAGTCCGCAAGAGAACTATACCGACTGAGCGAACGCCGCTTGTCGGCCTGGTACAGGGATAGCTTTACTTTTTTACTTCTCTTTTGTTCACATTTTTCTTATCTTTAACTTAGCCTTTTATGAATTCCTATATTCTTATGTCTGTTTATGCATTTCTTCGTTCTCTTATCCCATAGAAAGCGTCTTACCTACACAAACACACAAGAATTTCTCTCGCGATATTCTCTCTCCTCTGACATTCACGCTGTGTGATCGGCTTAGCAGCGACGAAGCAAATCACTCGAGTGAGCTGAACAAATACGCCCTCCCAGTGATAGCAACCGATATTATGGCTAGAGATAAACGGGTTCCGAAAGGCGAATACGGAATCGAGATTCTTTCGATATGAGCTTTTCACAGAGGTGACTGTGATCAGTACGGTATTCTGGATTACAAGGAAGTTCAGTAGAGTTACATAGCGTGTCGAACGCGCATACTGTCTCCTTCTTCAGGGTGAAAGGCTAAATGAACCAAGAAACCAACAGAAGAATGGGTAAAGTTACGACGCCGAAAAAGAAGACGATATATTGCTCTGAAACAACGTGTTACCTCTGAAATATGGCGTTACAACCCAGAAGTTCGTATTCTGTATAGAGAAATTCATTTTTACGAAATAACTAGCGTGGACATGGAATAAAATCTGCACTGCAATTTCAGAAACAAGTTCTGCAGTTACATGCACAAAACATGTCTAAGTTACTGCACTCGTAAATAAGCCACTTTAGTGATTTTCAGAAACCAATTATTCTGGAACAATCTATCTGTGGCTCTACAACCCTTGTGGATCCTGGCCGATTTTTCGGTTTCTTAATCCTACACACAGTCGATAGGGCTTCTTGGGCGGGGGATCAGCCCGTTGCAAGGCCGCAACCTACACACAGGACGACACAAACAGAGAATATACGCATAGAGACATCCATGCCGCGAGTGGGATTCGAACCCACGATCCCAGTGTTCATGTGGGAGAAGACAGTTCATGCCTTAGACCGCAAGGCCACTGTGATCAGATTTCCCAAAGCAAGCCGTGTTAAAAAAAAAAGGTATTCTCGCACTACAGGGGCACAAGTGTCATTCGAATTTCGTATATATACTATATATAATTATACTATATATTTATAACTATCTTACGCAGTAACTGCCTTCTAAAAGAAGTTATTGAAGGAAAGACAGAGGAGCGGATAGAAGTTACCAGAAGACGAGGAAGAAGACGTAAGAAGATGCTGGATGACCTTGGGGACAGAAGAGGATATTCTCATTTGAAGGAGAAAGCTCTAGATCGCATTAAGTGGAGGAACTGTTTTGGAAGAGACTGTGGACCTGTCGTCTGACAGATTACTGATGAATGAATGAATTTATAACTGATCGAATACACAACTTAGTCACCTAAACTCAAAAATGAATCTACATAAAGCCATAATCTACTGTGAACATGTTTCCTTATCATTATTACTATAAAACATACGAAGGTTACTGGATTCGATTAATTGCTACTGCTCCTCGTCAGCACAATCAGCCTTATTTTTGGGTCCCGTCGGGACCCACGACCATATTTTTGTTCTTTCAGTTCTTTTCGCCTGTTTTTGAAATGGGGGTCTTTTACACGAGAGGAGGGGTCTCACTCCCCTTTTACTGGGGTATTCACTGACTTGAATTCTCCTCCACACACAGACCCAGTCTGACTTCTAGGTCAACTCATAAGAAGGCTGTATATTCATAATATCATAAACACAACTGCCTAGTATTAATAATAGTGTATATCCTTACTCACCACCTGTTTCGACCCTATATCTGGGTCATCTCCAGGTGGTATACACTCGAGCATCGCTCATCTGAATTGTCACAACACATATTCTAAGAGAACATGTCGTCCTGAGTCAAGATGTTCCCATAAAACGTTGGTACCTTCAATTCATGTTCACAGAAGGCAGTAAAATTAGCACCAAGCCTGTTAACTTACTGCTCCGATATCTGCGCAACTGCGCGGTCTCACAGCTTACCTTCTTCTGCCTCAGTTTGATGGCCAGTTTGAGGCGGTTGAGGTGCATCCGCTCGCCGTGCTCAAAGGCTGGTCCCGTGGGGTCATGATTCAGCAGTACTTCCAGCTCGTAGGAGCTCCTCGTGTGGTCCAACAGCGCAGTCGCGAAGTCCTGACACTGCTTCCTGAGTTCCTGCACAGATGTTATCATCTTATCAATAATTATATGGCACTCTGACTGACTGACCAACTAAGCAACTACCTACCTACCTACCTACCCAACCACCTCCACGGGGCAGAGCACTTTTTTGGGAAGCAAACAGTTTCTCATGTAGTTAGGAAATTCACAGAATTTTATGGAATGTGACTATTACGATGATAAAATTCACGAGGATGAGATGGGTGGGAAAAGCAGAATGCACGGTAGAAACGACCGCGAAACAAACAACGAAGTACCGCCCCCTGCTAGGTACCAGATTCCTAACAAGTTTACTATAATAATGAGGAATGGTGTTTTCTGTGAGGTTCGTGCCGAGATGTTACAAGCGGGGAAAGTGGGAATTGCTGTAAGTGAAGAAAAGACTATGAGGCCGGTGTAAGATGGTCGCCAGCGTTGGAGCAATCAGTTTTGTTTTGAGATATTTGCCAACCGGTAAAAACGGAAGCAGAGGACATTGTCTGAGGCCGTTACCAGGAAACGACTAGTGACGACAGAGAAAACTTTTACAGGGATCTTTAGAGTGTGTGAACCAATGAGGCTGTTATAGTTACTTGTAATTACGAGTTGTTCGTGTAAGTGTTCAATAAATCGAGTGACCAATCTAAACCCCATCTAGTCACTCCCATCTACGTGAAAATATGAAAGGTTCGTAGGAAAACCTGATGGATATTTTCCGCCTGAAAGGCTTTGGCACAGGAGTGATGATAATACTTTTATTACAAGAAGTTCTGGGAAACTTATGGCCTAGTTTCCTTTGCTGCAGCACAGACAGCATAGAAAACGACTCCGCCAAACTTTCTTGTGACGTTGCGTGCGTATTTGTTGACGCAGTAACGATCTTAACTAGTCATTTTCTCGCAAAGATAGGGGGATAACATACAGACACACAGACTGACGGGAGGGATTTTTGAAGTACGCCTTTGTGATGAGCTCAGATGCCTTGATATACGTACATACAAAGTTTCATAAAGTTTGGTTAAGGCATTAAACAGTTGATAGGGGGAAACAGACACACGTAGAACACAGGGATCTCGTAAGCCTACTTTTATTTTTTCAAAACAAGGGAAATAGATTAACAAAGCAGGTTTTAGAGAAACACAATGGGAGAGGATTCGTCTGGCTCCGAATCAGGACCAGTAGTGGCTTCCTGTGAACACAGAAATGAACCAAAAATTTCAGGGAAATTCTTGTTTAAACGAGCGATATTTTGTTTCTCAAGTAATATCTGCTCCATTTCTCCTACTTCTTTTTCTTCTTCTCTGGCTATACGGTCCGTTGACTCCTTCACTATTCCGCCATTCCTGCCCATTCTAGTTCTTCAGGATTCGTTCGTTTCTGGGTAGAGGCTGTTGGCCTTTACCAAGCCTCTTAAATTAATAAGACCAATGCTTTTCTGTCAGGGTGTACTTTTTAGAGGGGTTGTCTTCACCAAGCATGAAGACACCCCACCCCCGTCCCTTGGTTTTTCTGTAGGGGGTTTCCTTCCTTTAGTCAGTCCCGTTTGAAGGCGCCGGACACGCGCCTTTCACCCCCTCCGTGTGCAACATCTGTGCTCTCACCCCAGAATATGTTGCCCAGGGGTCATCACGAGGAGGGGAAGCTAGGATTTGGCGACAGAGCCCCATTTAACAGCTGGCGTTCTGGTACTTAATGGTGTGCACCTACTGACATCAATGCATCCATCCAGAGCAATTTACTAGCCTTTGACACCTTCTGCCCCATTTAGTTAGTTAATTTCTGGAACCTGAAGATTCACTGCCATGTTCATAACAGCCCGCTACTGGTCATGACCTGAGCCAGATGAGGTCTTTCCAAAGAAACCAAATCTGGAACCGTGTTTATATTTTGTAATAAGGTGAATTTTTACGGCAAGGAATTGTTAGCCCTCCGCACAACCCCTAAGTTAGAATACCATTCTTGGTAAAATATTTAATCATTTCCGTCACAATGAAATTCAAGGTTACTACAGTCACTTTAATTTTTATTCACGACATGTTTCGGTCGTACACGACCTTCGTCAGGTGTCCTCGTTATGCTAAACTGTTCACTGCAAGTTTGTCTCAATTTTAAAATTACAATTATAATTAAAATTAAAATAGGTTGCCCTATTAAATCCAGTAAAAACGATTTCTATCTATTTGTGGGATTTATTAGCGTAATCTTCTGCGGCGTGGGTGTTTCATGTAGTTCGTTGATGCTGGTGTGTACGTTGCTTTGATTGTAGGCCCATTACCCAGCTTGTGTAATGTGTTGTTTTCTGTTGGGTTCGTGCAGCCAGTAAGAGAACAGGAACTGCTTTTCCAATATCCGGAGCTACCCTACCGGAATCCAGAAGACGGTTAGTGTGGGACAGAGACAGAGCCTATAAGAAAGCGAAGTTGCGAGACGAATATATATACACTATATCGAAACACACTTGAAGTAAAACTTGTAGAATTTAATGCGATCTCAATTTTATGTTACGTAATAATTTTTCTTCACTCACCCACTCATGGAGCTGAGCCCTTACTGAGAAGCTCCCAATTGTGCAGCTACTCAAGAACTTCCCAGCATTTATGGAACCTGAAGGTTCATTACCGTGTTCATAAGAGGCCTCCACTGGTCTCTACCCTGAGCCAGATCGATCCAGTCCATATCATACTATCCTATCTCTCTAAGATCAATTTTAATATTGTCCATCCACCTACGTCTTGGTCTTCCTAGTGGACTCTTTCCTTCTCGTTTTCTAATCAATATCCTATATGCATTCCGCTTCTCCCCATTCGTACTACATGCACTGCCCATCTCATCCTCCTTGACTTGATCATTATACTTGGCGAAGATTACAAGTTATGAAGCTCCCCATTATGTAGTAATATTTTTCCTTAGAATCAGTAATGTTTTTCAGAATCTCATAACTTTAAATACAAGCTCCATGTGAAGCGTATCTCATGTTTTACTGTTCCCTATTTTTTTATTGCTAGTGGAGTGGGACTAAGTCCCTTGCACTGCGGCCACTTCTGGCCTATTGTACCAGCCCCAGATGATAGGTGAGGGTGATTGTGGAGCAATTGGTGGAATGAAGATTGGCAGGGAAAACCGAAGTACTCGGAGAAAACCTGCCCCAGCGCCACTTCGTCCACCACAAATCCCACTTGACCAGACCCGGGATAGAACCCGGGCCGCCGCGGTAGTTCCGAAGATAAATATGCATACAGACAGACAGACAGACAGGTATGACTTCACTGTGTCCCTTTAATGCATTTCATGAAGGAAACGCAGGAAATCAGTTTCAATGATAGCAGTATTCCTGACGTTATACTAACTCCGTGGCTGTAGTCCGCAAGAGAACTAGTGCCAACTTTAGCGGATAGGGGGTGTCGCGTGATCAGCGCAATGACTACACACGGTCGTTAATTTCGGTTTTCTAGACCGGAGCCGCTATTTCCTTTAAATGGCTCCTCAATTATCCTCACGAGGCTGAGTGTACCCCGTTCCAGACCCACTTCTCAGAAAATGTGGTAGCGCCGGGGATCGAACCCGGGACCTCTGGATCTGTAGCTAGGAACTCCGACCACTAGAACAGAGAGGTAGTCTTCTGACGATATACGGGGCTGTGAGTTCTCTGGTTCGCACAGCCGTGGGATGTGACGTCATGCGGCTTGGTACATTGACCCTGAAGTGTCAGAAGTAGGCGGTGCCACTGTTCTCAGTCCGGGGGGGGGGGTTGAGAGGAGGAGAGGGCATGTTCCTCTGAACCGCCAGGCTACACGGCGTCAGATTCCACAAGGCAGTAATCTTCATAATCAGTTCTGTTCATGCTTACAAACTCATCTCCTGTCTCCCTGCACGTTAATACGCATAATAGGTTCCATTAATTGCTTTCAGTTCAATCACGGCTGAACGAGTTAATTTACTCGGTGCTGAAAGCCGACCTAAGATTCAGTTCCTTTCAGTGAATCTCACGTCTCACTTCCCTGTTATGTGCTATCTCTTCATCAGCGGTGTTACCAAAGAGCGGCATCTTCTGGAAGGTGATGCCGTATAGTCTGGTCAAGATTAATCGACGTTTGGAAAGAACGTTCTGCCTAGGTCTTCATGGTTTAAGAATAAGCCACATACGGATATAAGGAAGCAACTCTGCTTGCTGTTTGCAATACCCCTACTTGGTTTACATTTTACACTGAAGATGGAGGCAAAATTTTCCTCCGAAACATTAGTAAACTTCTAACGGACTATACTGCGCCACGTTTCAGACGAGAGTATTCTTAACAAGTAATGAAATGGTGAATAATAAGGCTCTGGAGACTGATCGGGGTTGTGGGATGTAACGAGTGGGGACTGTCCCATACGTAGCAGAGGGGGACTGGAGCCACACATGAAGGTTTGAAGGCACAAAGATCTATAGGAACGAGGGTTCGGAATATCGACTGAGAAATGGACATTAAGAGGACCGCACAGAAGGTAGAGTTGTCATATGCTTAGTTAAGCACTACGTGCATCAAGACATATCGGAGAGTGGAGATATAGTGCCATCATTCTTGAGCTCGGTAATTATGAAGGTGGGCATATACTGTCTTCGCTCGCTTGGAAACCGGGATCGTGGGTTCGAATCCCGCTCAGGGCATGGATGTTTAGTTGTGTGTGTGCGTTCACTGTAGGTCGCGGTGCAAGGGCCGAGGAGGCCTACCCCTCATACATTCAACACTATGAGATGAGTAACTCATGCTACGTGACTCAGCTGTTTCAGAATCAATAACTCATGCTACGTGACTCAGCTGTTTCAGAAGCAATAACTCATGGTACGTGACTCGGCTGTTTCAGAAGCAATAACTCATGCTACGTGACTCAGCTGTTTCAGAAGCAATAACTCATGCTACGTGACTCGGCTCTTTCAGAAACAATAACTCATGCTACGTGACTCGGCTCTTTCAGAAGCAATAGCTCATGCTACGTGACTCAGCTGTTTCAGAAGCAATAGCTCATGCTACGTGACTCGGCTGTTTCAGAAGCAATAGCTCATGCTACGTGACTCAGCTGTTTCAGAATAGCTCACGCTATGTAACTCGGCTGTTTCAGAAGCAATAGCTCATGCTACGTGACTCAGCTGGTTCATACGCAATAACTCATGCTACGTGACTCAGCTGGTTCACACGCAACAACACAGTAACTCAAGAGGGTAGCGACGCATCTGACACTGCAAGCTGAACATTAGCTGATACTAAGTCACTCACCTGATATTCACACTTGAACTCATGCTCCATGAAGCTGAGTCGTCTCAGCTCCCAGGACAGCTCGAAAGCCGTCAGAATGGGATCCTTCGAGGAGAGCGCGATTAGGGACGGACTCGCCAGAGCGCGGTATGCGTTGATTCTGGAGCGGGAGTGTCTCAGTGAGTCCTCCTGTCGTGACGTAACGCATTCGTCACAGCCGCATCTGTGGAGCAACAGACACAACTGGTTCATCCATGAGTTACGAGTATTTCGACCTGCACGCATTATAGAGCGGTAGACAACAGGCCGGCCGATCACAGTGGTCGTGCTGTCTAAAGCACGAACCGTCGTCGCCCTCTCGAATACTGGGATCGTGGGTTCGAATCCCAGCCGAAGCATGAATGTCAGTATGCGTTTACGCTGTGTTTGTGCTGTTCTACGTGTAGACAGCGTCCTTGCGACGGTCTGAGTCCCTATCCAAGGAGTCTTACCGACTGAGTATAGATTAAGAGACTGAAAGAGCGGCAAAGGTCCACATAGATAGACAGGTATGGGCCGACTGTGAGAGGTGAGTCCGAAAGAATGTGGAATTCAGAAGGTGTGATCGAATTTGGAATATGTATCTATTCCGATGGTAGTTCAAGTAAATATTTTTATTACTGAAGACCACTACATTCTGGGGTGTACCGCCGTGCAGTATGGTAGAAGTTTATGGACGTTTCGGGAGAAAGTATTGTCTCCATCTTCAGGATCGAAGACAAAGACATGGAAGCAGAACTCCAATTCACGAATTAATATTTTTCATGTCGCACTCGATTATGAATTATCTGTTCTCAACTTTTTAGAACTACATTTTTTGACAGCACTTTCCAATGGTAAGCCCCTGGGGGCACTCACCAACTTACATTATTAGTTAATTCAAGGGCTATATAACAGCAAGGTACTGTTGGAGGTTTGAGGTTTTCACAGTAATGACTGTGGAAACAACTCTGGCGTGTTACCCCGTGAAGTCTGGTACATATGTTCGAAGTTTCGGAGGAATATTTTGCCTCCATCTTCAGGGTACACCAATGGACTGAGCTTGCATCAGTTATGTGAAAGAAGGGAAGAGTGTGAACTTTAGACGGGACAATCTGAAGAACACAGACAAACTGGAACATCAAGGTTTAGAAGGAACAACAGTATCGAAGCTGATCTAAAAGATATAACATAGAAGGATGTGTACTTGATTCATCTGGATAAGGACAGGAGCAGCGCGGAGCTTTTGTGAACGCGTTAATGGACATTTAGGTTCTATAAATTGCTCGTAATTTCTTGATTACCTGAGCAGTTATTAGCTTGTCGAGCACTCTGATCCACAGAGTTTGTTAGTTAGTCAACTTGCTTCACATCAGGGTTTGTCGAACTGTGGGATTGGCTGCACTGGCGAGGGCCAAGAAATTTGTCACGAATGCAATAAACTATGGGAGCAACCCGAATTTTTCTTCAGGGGGAGATAGGCTCTAGTTTTCTAAGTACAGAGCCAGAGAATGTTCGTAGAAACCTAAGTTCAATTCGTGTTGTATCTTATCGGCTATAATAGTCCGTAATTCTTTGAAAATCGACAGAAATTTCGGAGAAACAAGTTGCCTCCATCTTCAGCGTCGACGAATAACAAACAAGAAACGAGCATGAAGCCGAATTATTGCTTCTTTACTTTTAGATCTTGAAAGTCGAGGCAGCACGTTTCTCCGAAACGTCCCTAACTGGACATGGACTCCGACCCCTCGGCCGTTCAGTCCGTAGCCAGTGGCTATACCGACTGAGCTATCATGGCTCACAATTTTAGCATGCTGCATGACGTTATATCCCAGAAAAATTCCATGAAAGATCATTTATTTTCCAATTTTGGAACCTTTGTTCGAATTGCTCTGAATGTGGAGCTCGATGATGATGAACACAGTTCAAAATTCGGGGTGTCACGAGTCTGTCCCTCTGGACCTGTGCTCCGGCACCCAATGTTTCGTCTAAGCTGCGCGCCTGCGCGGCTGTCGCAGTCCCGCACACGAGTCTCGTCCTTGCAAATTTATTGGTTTAGTAAATGAAAAAATTTGTTATTTATGGCAGCTTATAAATGTAACGCCTCTTGTGGGCCCTTACGAAAATCGCTGCCCACTTCCCGCCTTCCGTATTGCCTAAGCCAACCAAATTTCTGGTCAGAAGATATTGCAGCTAAGAGGGGAACCTTGCCAGCATCGCTCTTAAATTACTTTTCTTACAGAATACAACTCATATATTGCACATTAATACTTCAACAATACATACAGTCTTATTAACTAAATAACTAACTAAACACGTAACCAACTGACTAACGAACTAACCAAGCAACTAACTAACAATTAAGTAAATAACTATGTAAGATTTGAGGTTTTCACGGCGGTGACTATGAAGAAAGCAGTCTTCTGGGATGTGGCACAGTGTAGATGTGGTGTTAACCGACATTTCGGAGGAACGTATCGTCTCCATCTTCAGGGTAGAAGGAAGGGTAGAAGCAGTCTGCTTGTACCGGTTCTCACGGTCTCTTCGCTTGCGGATTTTCTTATTCTTCCTTCTACCCTGAAGATGGGTATATACAAAGATAGACAGACGAACTAACTAACTAACTAACTAACTGACTAATTAATTAAATAACTGCATGGGACCGAGTCCTTCTTCAGAATTCATCAGCTCCTCAGCCACTCAAGAATTTCGCAACATTTCACGTAACCCGAAGGTTAAGTGCCGTGTACGCAAGAGTTCTTCATTGGTCCTTAACCTGAGCCAGATGAATCCATTTCACATCCCTCGCTCTGTTTCTCTAATATCCATTTTACTATCATCCAAAATATGCCTAGGTCTTCCCAGTAACATCTTTCCTTCAGGTTTTCCTGCCGTACTCTGTATGAACTCTTTCTCCATACGTGCTACATGCCCTGCCCATTTCATCCACCTTGGCTTGATCATTCTCATAATATCTGGCGAGGTGTACAAGTTATGAAGCTCCTCATTAAAAACTTTTCCTCAGCTTCCCATTATTCAATCCTCTTTCGGCTCATGTTCTCCTCAGCACCCTGTTATCAAACACCCTCAGTCCATATTCCTCCCTTAATGTCAGAGACCAAGTTTACCACTCACGCGAAGCTACAGGTATCTACGTACAACAGTTTCTCTTCCTTGGGGAGATTCAAAGGTTGGAGCAACTCATGAAGATAATACGTAAGCACTGACACACGGGATTATGATCCTTATTGACATGATAACACTGGCGGAAGTTTTCGAATGTGACGTCTCGATTGTTTCAGCAATGCAAGGGCCGGACATACGGAAATTTACAAGCGCAAATTCTAAGTCTCTTTCGTTCAGTAATATAAAACAGTTCTACGAAGGTCGGGGATCGATCCCGGGTCTGGTCAAGTGGGATGTGTGGTAGACAAAGTGGCGCTGGGGCAGGTTTTCTCTGAGTACTTCGGTTTCCCCTGCCAATCTTCATTCCACCAATTGCTCCACAATCACCCTCACCTAACATCTGGGGCTGGTACAATAGGCCAGAAGTGGCCGCAGTACAAGGGACTTAGTCTCATCCCACTAGCAATAACAAAATATAGAAAACGGTTAGTAGCAACTCACACTTTGCTATACAGACAAAGCACCAAGCCCTACAGACGTATGGGGGGAGAGGCTTTATAGCTACACACCTCAATACTGGATGAGGTGAGTCGTAGCTTTGTGCCTCAGCCGCGAGCCCGGTACCTACAGGTGGGCCCCAGAGCCTGTCTAGGCCTCTGCCTCTGCCGGGAATCTAACCCTGGCCATCCAGCTCTTAGTCCGTCACTATACTGAATGAGCTATTCCGGCTCTTCACATGGAAGAAAATCTCGGACAATTTAAAGCAAGAAACACAAAGTGAATGCACTCAATCACATAACTGATAACAGTTAAAGGCTGTACCAGACTAAGAAGGAAAAGATAAAGAACATTTCAAGATAAAGTGAGTATAAAATAAAACAGAAGAACGCGGCAGACAAAACTAGACAAACTCTGAAGAATGGGATGTGGCGCCGTGTAGATATTTTGTTAACAGATGTTTCGGAGGAAAGTATCGCCTCCATCTTCAAGGCATAAGAAATCCGCGAGCGATGTACTAGCGTGAGCAAGTGTCTACACGCCGCCACATCCCAGAAGACGGCATTCTTCATAGTCACTGCCGTGAAAACCTCAAATATTACTAGACAAACTATTCTGATGGCATGACTAAAGAAAGAATACAGAAAGAGCTTCTACAGGATGAACGAAAGGGGACGACGAGACTTAGGAAGAACTTGCAAAAGATGGCACAAATATATGAAGATGGAATAAGATTGATTGCCTATATAATGAAGTAAATAAGAAGCAGAAAGAGATGAGTGATACGAAAATACAACACTCTGAAAACCCTAATATAATTTGCGGGCATTCTGTGCTTCTACTTGATTGAGTGAAGGCAAAAAAAAAAAAAAAAAAAAACACGTAAGCCACTCTTGCCTGGACTACAGGCATCAAGCGTGATGAATGGGGAGTCACTCGCAGTCAGTCCCAGGTGTGACGACACAAGGAGTCGATATCGAAAACTGATCGCTACGAGATTTATCGCGTTGCTAAACTCCACACTCCTTGAGCACTTCCTCGCAAGTAGTGCCATCTGTTAAGATAGGCAGATCATACGTTGGCGTTCTTCATACAGTCCACATAACCTTGGCTGCCCTTCCCAGAGACAAAGACAAACGAGAGTCTCGCAGTGTATCAATTACGTGACACCGTGACACTGCGGTACTACTAGAGATGTTTCTCGCATACTTCACGGGTGAAAGTTAACACTTTAAATGCCAGATCCCGCCATAGAACTAAGGTAAAGCTGGGGGCCGCGCTTTACCTCAAGCGGTTAGTCGCTGGCTTCCCACCGCGGCGGTCCGGGTTCGATCCCGGGTCTGGTCAAGTGGGATTTGTGGTGGACAAAGTGGAGCTGGGGCAGGTTTTCTCTGAGTACTTCGGTTTCCACTGCCAATCTTCATTCCACCAATTGCTCCACAATCACCCTCACCTATCATCTGGGGCTGGTACAATAGGCCAGAAGTGGCCGCAGTACAAGGGACTTAGTCCCACACCACTAGAAATAAAAAAAAAAATAGTTTAACTAACGAAAGTAGAAAGATTCGAAATGCACAGCAA